ACACTTATTAGCAAGTGTAACCGCCAAATTAACTGCAAACCCGATAAGTTTACCGACGAGTTGCTAACAATACAAAATAATTGGGTATTATTTAGTACTTCCTCCCTCCCATTTTACCTGTCCTACTTTCCTTTTTGGGTTGTCCCAAAATAAGTGTCTTTGGAAAGAAATATGTGAAGTACAGCATTTCACTTTATTATACTCAAATCTCAACCACGGCTTTTACTTTTTCAACCATTTTATTAATAATTGTGCCAAATCAACGTAGAACACATTAAATGAGACGGAGGTAGAACACATTTTATCAAGTCATTTTATTACTTTCTCAAGTCACTTTGTTTGGATGAAGTGTTGAAGGATATCAGAAATTGAAGATGTATGCAGCTTCATTGGTAACTCTTGCTTGGAAGGAATGTAAAAATTTAGGAGACAAAGAGTTGGGGTGTGTAAGGGGTAACACTCCTGATGCTTCAACACTTCACTATTTCCACACCCTAATTTGGGGTATTGCACCGCATTTAACACTTGTTATCAAGAGAAATCCTTGTTATTTAACCCTACTTCAATTCCCCTAGATATTTGTCTTTACATAAGTATGCAACAGCCTTTTATGCGATACGACGCAATTTTTAAGTATGATTTCGATATTTTACATTTTAAATGACTTGATAAGTTTATCATTATGTTTATTTTGTAATCCATGAAATATTTGTGGACAAATAGCTAAAATGTTGCAATGACACATTGAACAAGTATATTGCAGCATGTGTTGAGCTCGGTTTTATTTCATAATGTATATATGATTCTAGACACTTTTTTGTATTGTTGGGTATAATGTTAGGCATAATATATTTTCCTTAGAGAAAAATATGCATTTACCTAATAACTGTTCAAAACACATGTGAACAGTTAGGTGTAGGAGTAGACAAAACGGGAAAAAATCATGGCTTCCGATTATATACTCTTATAGTATACATAGTATAATATATTCATATGGCTCACATAAATTTTTAAGATGTAAGGATATTATAGCAAACACTTAAACTCGCCCTTACAGCCTCCACCACCAAAGCCTGAGACTTCTGACAACTTCCATTACTAACTAGTAACTACCATCAATACTTCATCTAAACAAACTATAAGCTAGAGGCACATGATTTCACAGCAAGAAGCAATAACAACATGTATAGCATTTACAGGTACCAGCAGTTGTGGACTTGCCAACACCACCTTTGCCTGAAGCAACGGCTATAATGTCTTTAATTCCTTTGATCGTGAGGTTCTGGGTTTTAGGTGCCGTTTGCAACCCCCTCACCCGACCAAGCTTCAAAATGATTCAAACAAAAGAAAATGTCAATTTGTTGAAATTGGTTGTGTCAATTTCAATCTCAGCAAAAGTTACTTACAATGTAATCTTTGGAAATCCCCTTCATAAGTTCAGCTGAGACAGTGAAGAACAAAAGCTCAAGCCACCAGTCACTTCTAGGCAGTGGCAGAACAAGAACTTCTTTGGTATAGCATGAAATATATGAAACCTCAAAATTTTTATATGGATAACAAGACGAATTTATATTAGAAAAAATGATTAATATATGATTACAATAAAGATAGTGGACAAAAATGGGACTCCTCATACATGGTGACCATGGTAGTAACTTAGTGACTACTACTATGTTCAGTTTTACACACAAGTGACCATAAATATACCGGCATAGTATTTTAATCACATTTTTGTCCATAAATTTTAATGTTTTATGTCAATAATATTTTAGGAAAAGTATCATTAAATTATCATTAAATATACAGAACTTCACTAATTCATCAAGCAAAAGGATTCGAATGCATCAAATTTAAAATTATAGCATTACTGGGTTTCGGTATAGGCAAATAGGCTGTACCAGCAACTCTAGCTTTGGCATCCGGGGGGCAAATTTAACCAAATACTGTATATTGCAAAAAAAGTCAAAATATAATATAATAATGTGTATTAGAACATAAATTTATTTAAAGAAAACTCTTATTTCTATAAGATTTTTAGTCAAAGTCAAATACAAAAAACACAAAAATGGGATTACTAGTTACTAGACTAATGCTAATTAACTAAATAATTAGATTAATAATAACAAAACAGAATCAAACTCATACTAGTATAAATGATGCTCACAAATGACAAATTAGAACTTAAGAAGTCACCAATCACATTCATAATAAATGTTAAATCCTAACATCTGGAAGAGTGAGGAAAAACATTAATTAAAGGCATTATGCCTTCCCTCAAAAATACTAATTTATAGAAATAGTATTTAAACAGATAAACCATTAATCTAGAATTATAGAAACCATTATCAAACTAAATAAGGCTGTAATTTAGTGTGAAAAGCTAAACAAACTTTGCAAACCCTCCCTAAAACCCATTAATCTGAAATTCTGGAAATAAGGCTGTAATTTAATCTACTAGCGGCTAAACTGAATATTAAAAATACAATGAAACTAAACAATAAACAAACTTACCGGAGCAGAAGTGGCGCGCAGAGCCGCAGAGCAGAAGTGATAAGCGGCTACTCGGCTAGAGGCTAAGCTAACAGGAGCTCTGTGCTCAGACGCCGTGCGCCGACCGTCCGACTGCCGACCAGGGACCAGCCACCGGCGTCAGACTTGTGAGTTGAGGTTTGGGATTTAAGCCGGTTGCGATATGCTCATATACCGATCCTGAGGTACACTTCAAAATGATCCACTTAAATGAGTTGTCCAATTTATGGCCAACTTTGAGGTACTTTTAGTATTATTCTTGCAAATGAGTTCTTTTACTGGAAGTGTCCTGAATTTTTGAAGAGAGTCCAGTATATTTTAGAAAATTAACTACCTTTTCGATTGAATTTTTAGCTGAAATTTGGTATGGGTAAACTAGATTTAATGAAGAAGATGCTGGAAAAAATTCATCAAAAAAGTCCACCGAAAAACGCTCTGAAAGGTGATGACCAGACAGAGCCTATTATAAAAGAGCTTATTTGCACTTTTTATGAAAGTTCGAGTGCTTATTTGATGGTTCTCGCTATTTTGAGGAGCAAGATATGAGTGCACATATATTATTTGGGCTTGGCCGCTTGGGAGATTGGATTTCTGGACACGATTAGGGACTACGGCCACACGGAAGCTAGGGCCGGGACTTGTAACCGTAAAATCGGGAAAACCGATCCGAACCGAACCAAAATTTCCGGTTCGGTTCCTATAATTTTGGACTTCAGCTTTTTTTGGTTCGGTTTCTATAGTATTTCATCGGTTCGGTTTCGGTTCGGTTCCAGTTCCTGGCCAGGAAGCGAACTTCTTATACATTGCATGAGTAATCTTCATTTGAGGTGCTTCTGGGTGGAATTTTTTGATGAAATTTTGTGAGCTTGTTGTTCATGAAATAATGATTATGTACACCAAATTTGAGCTTAAGCTGAAACCGGAAAGTCAGTTTAACAAATTATTGAAAAGCATTACGCCAAAATATATAAAAAAAACACAATGTTTTCCAATATTTTATTTAACTCACATCCTGATTGAATTCTAAGCTAAAATTTGGTATATATAATCTATGTTTCATTTAAAACATGCTCACAAATTTTATCAAAAAATTCTACACGAAAGCACCTCAAATGGAGGTGGCCATACGGCCTTCCAGGCAAAAAAATCTTGTCAAAAATTCTTGTCAAAAATATACATTATATATTATGCAGAAAATAATAGTAGTTATTATTTTAATACTTTAGTCCACTTTTATATTTGTTTTTTGTTTGTAATTGTATTTGTTATTAGAGTTCACCTCACAAAGGAATTAATATTCTGTTGATTACGTTGTTTATTACTACGTACTTTTTACTTATTGTGCATTACTAGTAGAAGAATATTATTTTGGGTTGAACTACCTGCTATTGGATGTGTACTTTGGAGCTATTGAACCTTTTTGCTTGACAGTTGATGCATATTTTAAACCGAGATTTTTGTTATGTTTAAATTTAATGTTGCACTTGCATATTTTTTTATATTTGAACATTGAGATATCATGCATGCGTAATGTAATGGTCATAATTTAATGATTTAAAATTTGAATTTTTTATGTAACTGAAGGTAAAATATGTTCATTTTAGGAGGATAATAAATTTTTATAAGGAACCGAAAAAAGGTAAAAATCGAACCGAATTTAACTAGAACCGAACCGAATTTAAGAACTACATTTTTAACTAGAACCGAACCGAATTTAACGCCTACGATTTTTGTACGGTTCCATCAAATTTTAACAAGAACCGAACTGATCTCAGACCTAACGGAAGCTGAAGAGTTAAAACCAAGGGTGATTGGAAAAGGGCAGTTTGACTAGCTTTAGCTTTTTCAATAAATTAAAATGTTGTTTGTTAAATAGGTGTTCGGTCTAGTGTTTTTGAATGGAATCGCTGAAATGAAAATGCTGAATATAAGAAAGTTTTGGGTTAGCGTTTTGAAAAATGACGTTTTCTACTAATTCTTATGGCTAAACAGCTAAATTACAAAACATCTTCTGGCAACTCGCCAACTTATTCCGCTAGTCAAACCCGCTCGTTGAATCCGCTATTGTCAACGCACTAACATAACTTGCTATCCATTAATCGCTAACTACTAAATGACAAACACGCCCCAAATCAATTGGTTCTGCTAAAATTTGGGAGTTATTCTTCCCGTTTGGTAATATCAAAATCGTCTAAATCAGTTGATTCTGCTGAAATTTATAAAATGTTGAGTGAAGTGACTGAAATGGTTGATTCTGCTAATTTAGAAAAAATATTTAAAATATATTTTATTAATAAAATAAATAAAAGAATATATGTAAAAATAATTAGAATGGTTCTCTACAAATTCTTCAGAAAGATTGAATTGCCACATGTTGTCACGCCCCGGACCCACCCGGACACGTCAACAACCCACCGTACAGTACGAATAGTCAACCACAGTCCAACACATCCATACTATACAAGGCGTCTGGAATATCGTTCACACATAGTACATCCATAAACAAACATAATGTAAAACATTCACCAAAGCAGCGGAAACATTATTACAAGTGTTCAAGTCACACTTGGCATAATTAGGCATACAAGCCCCCAAATAATTATTCAAAAAAATAATATTCATGGGCATTGTTTATATTGTTTTCAAAACAGAAACGGAAGAAGCACGAACCAAGCCTTCTTCTTTCAATCTCCCCAAAGCAATGGGCGGTGGTAGCATCCTTCAAGGTCTACCTGAAACTGTGAGGTGACCTCCCCCATGAAGGGGAAGTCACTACTTTGAAGCATTTGAAAAGTACAATGACAACTATATTGAATATAATCGATGTTTTAATTTCCAAGACCCTCAAAATAAGGTGATATCACAGTATAAATGATAATTTATATTTCCCTCTTATTATCTTTATAATAAGTTGATTCATTAATTGGTCGGCACGTGGCCCTTTCTTGTTTTCCATTTCAACATCGTTTCCACGACGCAACCCGTAGGTTTTATTATTTCTACGGGACTTGCTACCCCTGTCCGAGTCTTCACAAAGTCAGTCATCCTCACCTTATAGAGTGCTGAACTAGTTGCCTTTGCGAAGCTCTTCGATCAATCCCTATTCTAGGCTGATTGGAACCGAAAAACTGGACTACAGAGCAAAAGCCGGGCGGCTTTGGTGAATGTCAGGCGGCTTTTGTGCTCCTGCGATACGGGCAGCTCCCTTTTCTTGGTGGTTTCCGGCGATTCGACTCCTATCGATTCACCAACTCTTCTAAGTTAATTACCACCACTCTATAACAATATTCTACACTTTTAAACGTGTAGAACTCATGATTTAATCCACTATATGATTTCTTAAAAATCATACCCAATAAACTAGTTAAAGAACTAATGAGTTCTTACCTCTTATTCTAGCTTTTACTCCTTGGATTTTCTTTCTTGTTGTTTGCTCCGAACTTGCTGTTTGTGAGAGAATTTCCTGGAGCTTTTCTCCCCTTTGGTTTGTCCGAAATGTGCAAAGGGAGGGGAAGGCACCTCTACTCAATCAAGCATCAAAATAGTGCATGAGTAGGGCCTTGGGAGGTGTGATGGTGTCTTTGGCCATCCCTCTATTAATTTGTCCACACACCCACTCAAATTATGTCCCCAATCCTATTAATTTGGGAGTTATTTGATTGGCAAAATACCTGAAGTGGGTGTAGGAAGTTCCTCCCGATTATTCCCGTTATTTTGGCAGGTTGGGTCAAAATAGCACTTGGGTTGCCCAACCGTTTCCTCAACTTTAGTTGGCATTTTATTGGGCTTTTATAATTATTATGATGACCCAACTAATTATTTGGTAGCTCATTCTCAATATAATGGACCCGATAAAATAATTCAATCAATCACGCATTAATTGAATATACCAATCCGTTTCACGAAATTATCCGCTAGAAAATTTAAATACATACTGAATATTAAATTCAAGTACATCCGGGTGCGGTGTCACACATGCACCAGTGACAGCCTCACATCATATGCAGATCCATTTACCCAGCAACAAGTGCATACACATAGCCCCTCGGCCCCAAGACCGGTGGTGATGGCCTCTGGCTTGCAACCTTTGACCGAGGATTCTCCCACAGGGCTGCTTCAGTCAGGGCTCGCCAATGAGATCAGATCATCGGCTTGGGGAATCCGGGCAAGGCGCCTCGGCGACGCCAGAAGTTTACTCCCCCAAACGATGACAAATCAATACATATCTCTACTCCCTTTCGCCTCGAGTACTCTTGACTCAAGGAGTGGGGTGATGGTCCCAAGTGAGGTTGAAGTCTAGAGGGGGGTGAATAGACTTATAAAAATCTTTTCTTTTTCAACCCCTTTTCCTCAAACAGAATGTGTTCCAATATCTTTTGGGAGATATTGAAACATACAGCGGAAGTCTTGACCTCAAGAGTGTGACACTTCATAGGAACAAAGCTTATGACCCTTTTAGTTGTAACATAAATGGTTGGACAGAACACCTTTGTATGAAGGATTTAGACCTATTGACATATATCTCTTTGAAGTACGCATGTAAGGAGTTTGATTCACATAAAACTTTAGGGAGTTTTCTGGACAGTGAATATGCAAGCTCTTGGGATACTATGAAGGTGAGTGAGAACTGAAGTATGTGTTGGGTGTTGAATATAAAAGGTACACAAGATATATCCTGGTTCAGAGGTGATGTAACCCTCCTACATCCAGTCCCAACCTATTTCACATGGATTTCCACTAAATGAATATCCCATTACATTTGGTGCCCAGTCTACCCCTGGCTCGGGCGTAGATTGTGACGTTTTTCACGAAGAACCAGAATGTTCCAAGCTACTCATGTCCTCCAAAGGCTTATCACTAATGGCATTGCCCAGCCAGAAGCTACTCATGTCCTTGACTCATCTTCTGGATGATCACACACATATCAGAATGTATGCACTAGACTAGTTTACATGGGTATAAGCTAGTCTACCAACTAAACTAAGCTCTATAGATGTGTAAGAATTATAAGCTATTCTAAGAGCATTAGATGAGTGGGGTGGTAATCAGATTGGTGAAGGTGAATCAGCTAGCAGGATGTGTTCGTGTGAACCTTGATTCCCTTCGGTTCCACTAGGTTCCAATATACCAGGGTTTGATGCCATCTGGTGGTGCCACACTTGGTCTTCCCGCACTCCTTCTGTATTTATAGACTTTGTCATTAAATCTCCTCCGTTGGCTGAGTGGTCCAATCTTGATCGTTACTTGATCTACTTGCTTTGTTCCACTTGACTGGGGCAACATGGTTGATTCTTGTCTTTTTGTGACACGCATCATTTATCCTCACTCAACTTGATTCCTCATTTCTAGGTGAAGATAAAGATGATTTATCTTTATTTCTTTAGCTCGTAGAAATCAAGTATCTAGGCCGAGTGTTTGTTCAATGCTTCCTCATGATAGAATTACTTACTTTTAGTAAATAATGCTATATGAAATTTTGTCACATAATTTCTTGTAACATTATTTTCTATTCTTTTTGTCATTTTGACTGCAAGTGGGTCTTCTGACTTCTTGTTTCTGTGCTAAGAGAAGAATAGCAGATGTCGAGTACTTAATCAGAATACATCATCAGAATACCTATGAGGTCTTCTGTTCTGATGTCATCAGAGAACCACCTCTGTTGTTGAGGTTCTCTGATACGACCAAGACAGAAGGTATTCTGGTATGATGTCAATCAGAGAACTACCTCCGTTGCTGAGGTTCTATGATACGACCATGACAGAAGGTCATCTTACTTAAGTATCCGATTCTCTAAAGGTTTCAGTTGACTCTTTGTGTATCTTTTCTGTTTTTCTTGAGTACTTTATCACTACGGAGCACATTACAACAAACAGTAGTAGAACAAATACAAATTCTAGTCTATTAGAGGGATAACATAAAAAGGGGTGGCATCTTCAAAACAATATATGATCATCAAAATCCAGGGGACCTAATAACTTCCCCCTTTTTGATGATGCCAAAAACTAGAATACAAACACAAAATGGTGGGAAAATTTGTCCTAAGTGTTTGATTCTATTTTTCCCCTTTTTGGCAGCAACAAACACCTATGCTTGGTGTCTGCGTGATGTTTCTCCAGGGAGGAAGTTTCTGCCTGCTCTTCTTCTCCGTTTGCATCTGCTTGTTTGAGATTATCAAGTTTGACTTGGTAGATCCTATTGATATAGCTTAATGACAATAACATCTCAATGTTTCTTGTCTTCAGCCATTCAAATGCAAATTCTTCTTCTTGATTCATTCTAGGTGCGTTAAGAAGAAGAAAATTGTTTGGAGAAAATCTCCATGTCCTCTAAGCCATAACTCTGAATGTCTCATGTTGCAGAATTTCTTTCTCCTTTTCGAAGATGATTCTTGATTCAAGAGCAAAATGACACTCTTCTTGATTATGGGATAGAACTGGTCTTCGTTGAGTTGATAAATGTGGAGGAGCTAGGCTTAGTTCAAGAGAGATATTGTGAGATGAAGAATCTGAGGGGTTCGTCATTTGATGAGAATGATGAAAAGCCTTTTGTTTTAAGATCTGAAGAAGGTTTTGAGCTAGTTTTGAGAGATTGATCTTAAATGAAGAATGGGGTGAGGTAAAAATGATATTCATACCTCTTGATGATAACTGTTCTTAATTACCATTGGGTAATAATTGAACACTTTGCAAACTTGGTTGGTGGCAGACTCTCTTTTCAGTGCAAAAGGCAACTTAGATAATTGAGTGAGTTGGGAAACTCACTAATTTGATGAAGTTGCTTTTATTCGAATAGTTGACTCAGCTTCTTGATCACCATTTGTCGTGATAGCATGTTGCATGTTATCATAAATTCCCTTCTCCTTCATATTTCTGATTTGATTGAAGATAATCCTCTCTCATGCTCATTAATGTAACACTTTATCGAATGACAACATGCTTTTGATGTAATCAAGATTAATTCCTTTTGCATGGCTGAGTTCAGATAAATACTCCATAATTTATTTCAGGATATTCGTTGATCAATTTGATCTCTCAGACTTGATCAATATCTGTTCTTCTTGATTTTTCAGATAGCCCATACATAGAATAATTTCCTGAAATTTCCTGAAACATCTAAGGTGTTCCAAGCATAAAATAAATAGGGAGTTGGTGTCTCAACATAATCTCTTTTCTGTTTGACCAGGAGTTCTGTTCCTTGACAGAACTGCTTGAGGTGTTCTGGTCGAACAGAGAAGCTTGAGGTGTTCTGATCGAATCAGAGAAGCTTGAGGTGTTCTGATCGATCAGAGAAGTTTGAGGTATTCTGTTGGTTTCAGCAGGCAACCACAATTTGCTGAAGAATTCAGTTTGCCGCTTTTCCTGCTGACATCATCCTTCTTCTTTCCTTCTTTCTAGAGTTTCTGGTGAAATATAACTAATTCTCCTTTTGAATGTCTTCTTCTGTTATCCACAACATTGACCAATCTCTGCAATAATGATTTGTTTTTATTGAACAAATCCCACCAGATCCTCAGAGCTAGTCAAGTCATCTGGTTTATGGACTTTTTCGATTGGAGTTGATTAGTTGCAAGTGAAGCCTAGAATACTCTTGAGCGGTTAAGTAGCATTTTTAGCAAACTTTTCCTTGTTGCTCAAAAATCCTTTAGGCTCTTGTTTCAGCCCTTGATTTGAGAGTTTGCTAATGTTATTTCATCACCAATCTTCATCTGAATAATCCTCAATCCTTTGGTTGAGCAAATCCTCTTGAAGCTTTTTGAACATTCCCCAGGTGTTGATGATTGAGTCCTTTTGACTTGTAAACTTTGAAATGAACATTCTCAGGACACTGTTATTAACATGATTTAGCTAACTTAACAGGGTGCTCCTAAATTAGGGCGCTGCTATTTAGTAGGTTGCTCCTATTTTTAATAGGACGTTGCTAAGAAGCACGGTGCTCCTATTAAAAACAAGACTCTACAGAATAGTAGGATGCTACTTTTGAATCAGAGTCCATTTCTTAAGTTTTATTGAGGTGAAGAAGTTCCCCCTCAATTTGTGATAATTTTCTCATAAGCAAGATGAACGTAATAATGTCTGCCTAAAACCTTTGACTAGTCCCCCTGAGTTGTATGTCCTTCAATTAATATCAAATGATGATACCAATTGATATTTTGATATGACAAGGAGGAGTACCTTTAGGGTTTTCTGGAATATATATTCCTTCTTCAAGGTTGTTCAACATTCAAGCTCTTGTCTTGAGAATTAGATGTGCTAGGATCCATTGTTGGCTTTGAATATCTCACTGTTGTAGAAATCATCAAAATCTACCTTCAGTGCAATATGATCCTAACAATCTTTGTGTGATGTTGTTGATGCTGGTTCAATCCTTCTTTGAATAAGGTCATTCTGATTGGCATTGAACATCATCTGATACATCCACTTATACCTAGTGGCTGGAGAAGAAGGTCTTTTAAGTTGGTTCTTTGCCACCAGTTTTTCAGCAAGCAGCTGCAAGCTTACTGTCTTTGAGAATCTCTTCTTTTCATTGAGCACATCTTTGGTGACATTCTTGAAAACTGAATGTCTTCTTCTATCATAGACTGACGTGTGCTCGATAGATAATTCTTTAAACCATTAACATAAGTTGTGTTAATGATCTGAGAATTCCAGTTTGTTTGTCTCTAGTCTTGACATTTTTATTCCACTCAATACTTCCATCATCTTCTTGTCTTTTTGGTCCTTCCTTTCCTTTAAGAGCAGTAGTACCACTTGTGATACCATGAGAAATCCACAACAGACTTTTGATATTCATAAATATCATGTCAATTGATGAATAATGAAATCATTAGATCTTTGTTTGTTTCATGATATTGGTTGCTCTCTTCTCCCTTTATATAATTGAATCTCTTTTGAACCTTCTCTGATCCCTTTTCGTGAACTGGATGATTTCCCAAAAATGTTGTCAACCAGAAGGGTGAGTGATAGGTTCTCTGGTATGGGAGTAAGGGTAAGGAGGGTGTATGATGATGTGGAAATATATAGTTGGTCACTGGTCCATTTGTTTATGGAGTTTATATGGATAATGGATGGACCAGTAAGTGTTTTGGTTTTCTGGAGGTTAGGGACAGAATTGATAAAGTCATATTCAATGCTAATCCAGTAATATGATCTTCATTAGTAATGAACTTAATGAGATCTCTCAGTTTTTATTCCTCATAAGACTAATCTTAATCATCAAATTATCCTCTTAGTCCAGTTACCATTTGGACTTTCTGATGTTCAAGCTTTTCAGTTTGTGAAAGGAATAAATTTATCTGAATGTTCTATGAAGTGAAGCACAGTTGGGATAAAGGTTTGAACATTCAAGATAAACTGAGTTACTGGAGATGTATTTGAATATACCTCTTCATGAACATCTTTCTCTCAAAGAGTTGGCCAGAACTGTGATGTCATGATAGTAGGCTTGACTTCTTCTTCTTGTTGAATAGCAGTCCCTTTTCTTGATGTGTGATCAAAACTTGCTTTCTCCTTCCTCGTTTCTTCTTGAAGAGTATCCTTCAAAGTGTGTTCCATCTCTTCTGTCTATAAGTGTTTTGGGACATTGGTGGTTGATCTTTTTCTCAAAGTAAGCCAGTTAAGAAACTGGCTCTATGAACAACCCCACTGATACTAATTGATGGTCCCAAATAAGGTAGAAGTCTAGGGGGTGAATAAAATTATAAAAATCTTTCTTTTTCAACCTTTTCCCCTCAAACATAATGTGTTCCACTATCTTTTGGGAGATATTGAAACATACAGCAGAAGTCTTGACCTCAAGAGTATGACACTTTATTGGAACAAAGGTTATGACCTTTTTAGTTGTAACAGAGATGGTTGGACGGAACACCTTTGTGTGAAGGATTTAGACCTATTGACATAGATCTCTTTGAAGTACGTAGGTAAGGAGTTTTGATTCACAGAAAACTTTAGGGAGTTTTCTGGACAGTGAATATGCAAGCTTTTGGGATAATATGAAGGTGGGTGAGAACTGAAGTATGTGTTGGGTGCTGAATATAAAAGGTACACAAGATATATTCTGATTCAGAGGTGGTGTAATCCTCCTACATCCAGTCCCAACCTATTTTAGATGGATTTCCACTAAATGAATATCTCATTACATTTAGTGCCCAATCTTCACGAGGAACCAGACTGTTCCAAGCTACTCATGTCCTCCAAGGTTTTTCACTAGTGGCATTGCCCAGCCAGAAGCTACTCATGTCCTTGCCTCACCTTATGGATGATCACACACATACCAGAATGTATACACTATATTAGATTACATGGGTATAAGCTAGTCTACCAACTAATCTAAGCTCTATAGATGTGTATGAATTATAAGCTATTCTAAGAGCATTAGATGAGTGGGGTGGTAACCAGAGTGGTGAAGGTGAATTAGCAAGCTAGATGTGTTCGTGTGAACCTTGATTCCCTTCGGTTCCACTAGGTTCCAATATACCAGGGTTTGTTGCCATCTGGTGGTGCCACACTTGGTCTTCCTGCACCCCTTCTGTATTTATAGACTTTGTCGTTGAATCTCCTCCGTTGGCTGAGTGATCCAATCTTGATCGTTGCTTGATCTACTTGCTTTGTTCCACTTGACTGGGGCATCATGGTTGATTCTTGTCTTCTTGTGACACAGATCATTTATCCTCACTCAACTTGATTCCTCATTTCTAAGCGAAGATAAAGATGATTTATTTATATTTCTTTAGCTCGTAGAAATTCAGTATCTATGCCGAGTGTTTGTCCAATGCTTACTCATGATAGAATTACTTGCTTTTAGTAAATAATGTTATGAGAAATTTTGTCACATAATTTCTTGTAACATTATTTTCTATTCTTTTTGTCATTTTGACTGCAAGTGGCTCTTCTGTCTTCTTGTTTCTGCGCTAAGAGAAGAATAGCAGATGTCGAGTACTTAAGCAGAATACCTCATCAGAATACCTTTGAGGTCTTCTGTTCTGGTGTCATTAGAGAACCACCTCTGTTGTTGAGGTTCTCTGATACGACCAAGACAGAAGGTCTTCTGGTTTGGTGTCAATCAGAGAACCACCTCTGTTGTTGAGGTTCTCTGATACGACCATGACAGAAGGTCATCTTACTTAAGTATCCGATTCTCTAAGGGTTTCAGTTGACTCTTTCGTACCTTTTCTTTTCTTTTCTTTTCTTTTTGTTTTATGGTACGTTTCTTCTTTTTTAGTACTCTCTGTTTTTCTTGAGTACTTTATAATTGTGGAGCACATTACAATAAACAGTAGTAGAACAAATACAAGCTATAGTCTATTACAGGGATAATATAAAAAAGGGGTGGCATCATCAAAACAATATATGATCATCAAAATCTAGGGGACCTAACATGGAGGACTCCTGATAGAGTATATGGACTCGCACCCCGGTCTCATGACAATTGGGCCTTGACAACGGTCCACACACGACTGTTAGATGTCATTTATATTATTTGTATTATTGTAGAGTTCATATATCATTTGTATGTACTAGATTAGTCCTTTATGTAGTTGGACCTATTGGGCCCATATTAGCGGCTCAACCCACTGTTTGTCTATTTATACTCTCTTTGGGAGACTTGTAACCCTAGCTAGTTCCTAATTCTTAGAACCAATATTACACATTCACAATCACTATTCATCTTCTTCTGCACACTTCCTAGTTCAATCTCTTTAAATTTTATACTTTGAATACCCTATTATCCATCAAAGACATTTTTTGAGACAACTCAAATAAAATGGTAGAACAAATGAAATGAGACGGAGGGAATATAATGTATCACATATAATCCTTATTTTCTGCCTTAATTTATGAGGCTTACCTTTCCAAAGAATTTCTTATAGAAAAGACTCAATTAATGATGTGATATACTCCCTCCGTCCCTGTTGAATCTTGACGTTTGCTTTTGACACAGTGTTTTAGGAGCTAATAGAAGAACAAATGTTTTGCATGCCCTTTGACTTTTAGGGAGAATTAATGCTATCCACTCAAATGTAAAAAGTGGGTGTGTTAGTGAAGTGTAATTAGGACATTTAATGTGAAAGGAGTTGTCTAAAAAGAAAACGTAAAGGAGTAAACGAGACATCCCAAAAAGGAAAGTGTAAAGATTTAAATGGAACGGAGAGAGTATTACTTTAATATGTTTTGATTATTCAATTGAAATAAATACTCCGGAATTTAATATTTTCTCCCAACAAAACTTCACTTATTTGGGCACTAAATGTACACCTACATTATTTAGAAGTGTAGGTGTAAATTTCTTAAAATCTTATAATTGTCAATGGGGGTTAGGGTATATTAGGGATGAAAAAATGTTGTGTAATCATCTAGCTTTAAGAGATAGTGCCATGTGTTTTACTATGTGTACTCGTTTATAGGAATTGATTTTCCATTTAATTTCCATCTTATAACTCTTAACTCCCACCTATCTCAACTTTCAACAACCTCTCTAGCTCTGGTATTTGGGTTGTTAACGAACCGAGCTTTTATCGAACTATTCGAGTTCAAGCCCGGTTTCGAACCTAACGAACCGAGCTTAACGAGCTTTCAAACTCGAACCCGAGCTGAATTTTAAGTTCGAAAAATTAATCTAGCCGAGCTCGAACATAGTAGTATTCGGCTCGGTTCAAACTCGAGCCTATCGAACACCCTAAAATTATAAATATAATTTATATATATGTCAAAATTTAAATATAATTAGTATGATTTTATAAATTTAAATATGATTATTAAGAACCGAATACTTGTCGAATCATTCGAGCACGAGCCTATTAACGAGAATCACCTACAATTTTAAATTCGAGCACGAGCCTATTTATCGAGCTTATCGAGCGCTCGGTTCGAACATCGAACGCCTATCAAGCCGAACACGAGCCTCATTTGTAAAGCTCGCCGAGCTTCGAGCTCGAACCCGAACACCACTAATTCCTTATTGAGCCGAACTCGAGCTTTGAGTGTTCGGGCTCGGCTCTTTGACATCTGTTATGAGGCAGGTGGTCTCCTTCGAGCCCTAACCTCAGCTAACTGCCTCCCATCGTTTCTGTCTTCTCGCGCCAACTAGGTATGTTTCCATCGTTTCCGTCTTTTCCTTCATCTTCTCCATCTTCGTGTAAGTTAATTTGTTCTTTGAATGATGATTGTCACCAGCTAAAAAACAACAAAGATGTGGCAAACTCTTATCTGCCATTCTTCGATATTAACTCTCATTATAAAATTCCTTAAAATCTTCATTTATTTATCACTTTTGGTCTCACAATAGCACTCGATTCACATTTTGTCATTTGCATTACTGCTATGAGAGTATGATTATACATCCTCTATCTCTAACTGTTCAATTCTATTTCCTCTGCCAATTCCTTTTACTTCAATTATTGGGCAGTGGAAATGGTAAGACTGGACGAATCATATTAGTTGTGACGTATTGGACCACTTGTCTGAGTGCAGTTTCATATTGCTAATCAAGTGGACCAAAGTACTTTCTTTTCGACATAATAATTTATTTATTGATATTACCAACGGTTGATGGCCTTCTTGCTAAAATAATTCTCAATGATAGGGGTTATGTATTCTTCTCTCTGTCTCCCATACCCACGAGGCGCAATTGGAAAGTGTGAACTTACGGAGTATTAGATAAGGGTATGTTTTCATCCTTACTTGACTTGTCATGAAAGGATAAAGTTGGATAGGGGAGTTTTCAGTTTCACTTGAATACTAAAATCTTTGCTCTTGATTATAGATCTTATCTTAGAAGGCATATGTGTTTGATTGTGAACTTGTAATTGGAGATCATGGAAAGAGGCTACTTACATTTGAGGCAGTAATCGGCCAAATAGTCATTCTACATCGGATGATTTGAAAATTTTCACCATACTATGTATATTTCATTAGCAAGCAAATCATTGTTTGTTTGTTTTATGTTCTCAAGGGAGCAAAAATAGTTCAACTGCCAAGATTTGAACTTTATTTAACCTCTAGACTTTTCTTGCAACTCTTTTAAACACAAATCCATCAAAAGGTTTCACCGTTTCAATTACGATTGTGAATTTTCTCTAATATTTATTTTCAAAAAATAGAGTCTGGCTTGTTATGGGCATCATCTAAGTATTCCTGGCCGGCCTTTTTCTATATTATTAATTATGATGATACATAACACTTACTACGGCTTGATGTTATTATTAATTAGAACAACAACAACAACCCCCAAAAGCCTAACCCAAATTCTTTTGGGATTAAGGCTTGGATGTTGTTGTTGTTGTATAACTTTTAATACATATTTGTTATGCTTTTATTGTACAGCTTCCCTCATTTGTGTTTTTTTTATTGGAATTTTACTTAGTGTGAACATATATAACTTATAAAATTTTAATCAATTTAATTATTCCGTTTACGTTTTCAGTTGTTCAGTTTATCATTCCGGTTACAAGAATTTAGAATTATCATTCTATTCTATTCTAACATGAGTTGTATTTTTATATTTTTATATTCTTCCAGCGTGTGATGGTTTTGCACTCATAACGTATATTATTAAAAGCACTCATAAAAAACCAGACACTTATGCGTTCAGGGACAAAAGCAAACAAAAAAATACACGAACAATAGATATACTTCTTATGTGCACAGACACAGTCACACACCTCTTATGTGCATACAAAAAATACAAGTGGGGTGACTCTAACAACCTTATTATAAAGTTTCTCCACACTCCTTAGAAATGATACCTTATGTGCATGTGTTTGCCTCCACTTGCTCCTACCAGCTGCTTTTATTTGTAATTATGAAACAAGCCAAGCTTATTGTGATTCAGAGGTGTTAATTAAGAAACAAATTGTTTGTATGAGAGCATTAGGCGGGCTCTACAAGAAGCAGATGCATCATGCATGCCAAACCTTTCTAATGTTTTTGCTTTCTCCATTAAGCGTATACCTCAAACTCGTGGTATGCACCTTGTAGAACAAGTTAGTCTTCAAGTTGCTAGAAGGGTTGTTCAATCTGTTAGTGACTAAGTTAATACAGGCTTGATTAGAGGAGTAAAACACCTAACTTTATTTTTCCTTTCCAGTTTCACCTAAGATATTTACCTCTAAATTATTTTGGGTCTCTTTTGTTGTCTGTCAATTTCTCATTTCAGTCATTTATACCCTTACTAAACAAGTTCTTTACCTGACAGACAACTTATTTATGCATTCTATTACATCTTCTTAACCTCGGATAAACTTTGTTGTCAGGCAAGGATTTAATGTTGATGTAATGTGTGAGTTCCTGGAGATCGCAACTCAAAAACCAATCGATGTTCCGTTTATTGAGTTTATACCTTTTGATGGCAATGTTTGGAATGTGAAAGAAGCTTGTCTCTACAAAGAGATGACTGACATAGTGGTATGGTATAATACTCACATATGCTCCCCCTACACATGGAAAAAAATCCGTTCTCATTGCGTATGTTGTTCTCCTTTCTTCTTTTTCAACAAACAAGCTAAATGCTTTACTGAGCTTCATAGAACTTTGGACCACCATATAGAGACGCTTAAGAATTTCAAGATAGATGGGCATCATGGCACTGTTCCTTCATAACTTCAATGACGGAGCACTCATGTGCAACTTGCAACACGCTGAGGCTTTTGCGAATTGCGGATTATAAGGTATGCGCTTTTGGTCCCTTTGAGGTGAAATTTCTCTCATCATGCACACACAACGACTTTACTTTTGCTCCATCGTTCTGGACCCCTTGATCTAGCTACCAATTTATAGATTTTGGTTTTGCTATTTTAAGATATTTATTATAATGTGATAAACTGTAATCACACCATTACTAATAATATTATTTCAAAATCTCCAAAAAACGCAAAATCATTTATACTTTGAGGCTGAATTCTTTCTTCAATTACAGTTTGATAATTGATAATTGGTAGTTTGATACTTTGAGGATGAACCACTGCGATTGATAGTTTGATACTTTAAGGCAGAACCACTGTGAGTATATTTTCTTTCTTGGTTGATGAATAAAACTGTCATAATAAAGTGTTGATTGTTGACAATATTTTTGAGAGGGAGGAATACCATTTGGCCCCAGAAGGAGTGAACATTCAGACTGATGTTGTTCTGCTAATTGGGATATGAATATTGGCATTCATCCATAAGGGAGGTTTCATGAAGTTAGAGGCTTTTGTAGGATAAAACAAATTCAGGAAGCTAAAGTTTGGCTTTTGATCCCAAACAAATTCAGGAAGCTAAAATAGAGCTGAGCACTTGGATTTTATGACGATTTATGGCTAAATGATCCTAAACCTCTTCTTGAGTTATATTACTTATATATACATTGTCAAATCACTTCCCTAATGAAATTTTATGTTGTACATTGTTGTATATTGACACAAGTATACTTCCATATTTTTGAAATACAAATTACATTTACGCATTACTTTAATAGAAAAATGCAAAACTAAGCAAGCATGGGAAGGCATGCAACGAGAATGTGAAAAGAACGCTATAGCTTCGTTACTGCCACGCTTCCTAAAAAGAGTAGCATGCATCGGATACGTATTGCTTGTTTCATCGGAAAAGAACACTAAAGTTTTTTTTTTTTGAAGATAGACTTAAAGTTTTATCTTAATATGTCAAACTGTAAGCAGGCATAGCCCAAATCTTTACCGGTAGATCCGTCTTTGCCTTATACTAAAAAAGATTAATCTAAACAACAAGAAGCAAGATACACTAATAGTGAGAAAAATAAGATAATAAAAGTAAGAAAGAAGCCTTACATATCCTCTAAAACTACAAAGAGTGTATAAAACAGTATATAATAGCTTTTCGATATTGGGATTTAATACCACAAGATGTGCTTCACATGAGATTTTGAAACAACTTAGGGTGACATTGATTTTCAGGTATGTTGATGGTATTGGTCCACCTCACCCGGGCCACCTGTGTGTTGTCTTTGGTCCACCTCATTTATTAAGTTGGTCTCCTATTAATTGTCCTGGCCCAATTGGGCTGTCTACCCGACCAACCCCACTCCCCTTTGTTTGTTCTATTCCCAGCCCATGCCCCTGTGGCCCTATGTTATATTGTCCGGTTCTTTCTCGGATCTCCTATTTGACTCGTCCCCTTCATCTCTCTTTCGATGAAGCAAACGTTTGGTTTCCCTAGACCTAGAGTGAGAGAGAGAGACAGTTCCCTGAGAGTTTTAGCTCTGGCTATACTCCGGTGATACTTTAGGGTTCCCTTGGGGGTCTTCACTCTAGTCCGGTAGTGTGGCGAGTTGTTTACTCCTCCGACGGGGCTTCTGGTATGGGGTCTGGGTTCTGAGTGTGAGGGTTTGTTGGCTGTCGCCCTTCGTCTTCCCTGGTTGTAACTCTGGTGGTGAGTGTGAGCAAGCCTTTGGGCTTTGTGGTGACTGAGGTCTGAGCCGGTCCGGATTTCCAACAGTGGTATCAGAGCCTCGACGCTGCTGCCTCTCGCTGACGCCGGAAGCTCGCCGGACAACTCCCACACCGAAAACGACTGAAGCTCCATCGAAGTTGGTAAGTCGGGTTGTCTTTGCTGGACACCCGCTCATGTATAACACTAAAACCCTAACCCTTGGGCTGCCAGAGTACCACCGGCTTCTGTGATGAATGGGTAGTTCTGAAACCCTAGGTTGAGGAACTTCCGGTTAGAAACCCTAGTTTTTTAACCGTTGCATGTGTAGATTCTGTCTAGACAGATCTGCAGAAACCCTAGGTTTGTTGAACTAGTGCATGAGTGGTCCAATCTGTATCGAACTTGGCCACTGGTTATTTGTGAACTTGATTGGCTTATTAAATTTATTCTCTGTGTGTTGCGGTCTTTAATTACTAGCCCCTGTGTGTTGTTACCTCAGAACCTGTCTCTGTATTGTTGTAGCTTGCCTTATTTCTGTTGTATTATTTGTGTTATTTCTCTGCTCAGTGAGTCTGTCAATTCCTGTGCTTGGTGTTGAGTTATGGTAATAGTGTGGCTTTCTAACCCCTAGTTGGCTAGGGCACCTGAGGTTAGGGCTAAGTGATTCCATGCCAGCCACTTTAGTGGCCCCGGAACTGCGTGGTCACTTAGTCCGGCAGCCCAAACCACTAGGGTTAGCCTTTATATTACCTGTATCTCAGCAGCTTAGTGTATTGACTGTTATCATGGCTTCAAACCAGTATGGTATGATGCCTTTTAATGGTAAGACTGATTTTGATATTTGGAAACAGAAAATAAAATGTGTGTTAATTCAACAGAAAGTATATAGAGCTGTTACTGGACAATACTTAGAAACTGAGGATAAACCTAAACAAGTTGAAATGAATGAAACAGCCTGCTCAACAATATATTTAAACTTGTCTGACTCTGTCCTTAGAAAGGTTGGAGTCATTCAGTCTGCTAAAGCCCTCTGGGATAAACTTGAGTCTCTATATACTGATACTTCCCTTCCTGGCAAACTGTTTTTGTTGGAAAAGTTTTTTAGGTTCAGACTTGACCTAACAAAAGATATTGATGAAAACCTAGATGTTTTTAATAAACTAATCCAAAACATTAAGCAGGCTGGGGATAAACATATAGATGACTACACTGCCATAGTCTTACTGAATGCTATACCTGATTCCTATAATGATGTTAAGTCAGCCATTAAGTATGGGAGGGATGACATAACCCTAGATATTGTTATTAATGGCCTGAGAAGTAAAGAACTCGACTTAAAACATTCTAGGAGCCATCATAGGGAATCTGGGGAAGCATTGTTTGTTAGGGGAAGGTCTAAAAGCAGGTCTAGACACCCTAAAAAGGACAATCGGGATAAGAATGGTAGACAACCTAGTAAGAAGAGGTTCAAGTCTAGGAAAAGAGTCTGCTATAACTGTGGTAACCCAGGACATTTCATAAAAGATTGCACCCAAACTAAGAGAAATGACCAGGCTAATGCTGTGACTAGTAAACTTGTAGAGGAAGAAGTCTTTATGGTCTGTGATCAAGCCAATTCTGTACTTAGTAGTCTGACTGAATCTGAATGGTTAAAAGACTCTGGGTGTACCTACCATATGACCCCTTTTAGGAATCTGTTCTCCTCCTCTAACTTATGTGAAACTGGTTTTGTTTCCCTAGCTGATAGTAAAAGGTGTAAGGTCCTTGGTATTGGTGACATCTGTCTAAAATTTGAAAATGGAACTGTTTTTCAAATAAAAAATGTTAGGCATGTACCTGATTTAAGGCATAACCTACTTTCAGTCTCTGCTTTTGAAGAATGTGGTCTTGAGGGTAAATGGGGAAATGGGTGTATGAAAATTCTGAAAAACTCCCTTGTTTTGTTTAAAGCTTTGAAACAAAATAACCTTTATGTTGTGCATGCCAAACCTTTTTCTGAAAATGCTAATGTTGTACTTAGTGACAAGTCTGTGCTTTGGCACCAAAGACTAGGTCACATGAGTAATAGAGGATTAAACATTTTGAAACAAAATGGGTGTTTTGGTAATGACTTGGTGTCACCTATACCTTTCTGTGAATGTTGTGTCTTAGGTAAACAACATAGGGTTCAGTTTCTTGGTTCTAGCTATCCTAGTGAGCCTAAGTCCAAAGCTGTCCTTGACTACATACATGCTGATGTGTGGGGTCCCTCCAGTGTCCCTACCCATGGGAGTAGGAGGTATTTCCTGTCCATAATTGATGATTTTTCTAGAAAAGTTTGGGTTTGTCTGTTAGAAAATAAGTCTGACGTGTATGATAGATTTAAAGAGTGGAAAATAATGGTAGAAAATCAAACTAGATGTAAGGTTAAAACCCTTAGAACTGACAATGGACTAAAATTCTGCAATAAGGATATGGATAGGATGTGTACTGAGTGTGGGATTATGAGACACAAAATTGTGCCCTATACTCCCCAACAGAATGGGTTGGCTGAAAGAATGAATAGGACCCTCCTAGACAAGGTTAGGAGTATGTTAGCCACTTCTGGTCTCCCTAAGAAGTTTTGGGGAGAGGCTGTGAACACTGCAGCCTACCTGATAAACAGACCCCCCTTTGTACCTTTATAAGGTAAGTGTCCTGAGTCAGTCTTCTCTAAGACACCCCTTGACTTATCAAACTTAAAAGTGTTTGGATGTGTTGCCTATGTACACCAACAGACTGACAAACTTGACCCTAGGTCTAAGAAATGCATTTTCTTAGGTTATCCTGAAGGTGTTAAAGTATATAGAGTTTGGGATAGGAATCAGACTGGTTTTAAAGTCATAATAATTAGTAGAAATGTTGTTTTCAATGAAACTGATTTTCCCTGCTTAGTTAAAACTGTGACTGATCCTGAAAGTGAACCTAAAGACACCCCTCCAAGTGAGGTGGAGCGTGTCCAAACTGCTACTACACCTCTGTTCAATGAATTTGAACATTCTGATAATCTGGTAATAGTAATGAAGGTTTGCATGATGTGATTGTTCAATCTGCTTTTGCTGATAATGATGAACTTGGTGAAATCCAAGTTGAGAATGACAGTCTAGATGATTATGTGTTAGCCAGAGATAGGACTAGAAGAAACATAAAGAAGATTTCTGATAGCATGACTGACTATGCTTTTCACCTCTATGATACTTCTTTATTTGCATTCTCTGTTTTTGAAACTCTTGAGTTGAATGAGCCTAAAACCTACCAGGAAGCCCTTGCCTCTAGAGAATCAAAAAATTGGCTAAGTGTTATGCAAAGTGAAATAGATTCTCTTAAGTTGAATAAAACCTGGACCCTAGTTTCTAGGACTCCTAATTGTTCTGTTGTTGAGTGCAAATGGCTTTTCAAAGTTAAAGAAGAACCTAATAACATTAGGTTTAAGGCTAGGTTAGTGGCTAAAGGTTTCACTCAAAAGGAAGGGGTAGACTATGCTGAAGTTTTTGCTCCCGTAGTAAAATTCACCACAATTAGGATGATGCTTGCCCTAGTTGCCCATAATGACTGGGAGATGAAGTAGATGGATGTTACCACTGCTTTCCTGCATGGTGAATTAGATAAACAGATTTTAATGACCCAACCTGAGGGTTTTGTTGACCCTAAGTACCCTAGACATGTCTGTCTACTTAGGAAGGCCCCCTATGGCCTGAAACAGTCTCCCAGACAGTGGAATATAAAGTTTGACCAGTGTATGTCTTCCCTGAGTTTCAAAAGGTCTGATTCTGACCCTTGTTTGTATTTTAAGAATACTGCCTCTGTACCTATTTTCTTGTTGATCTATGTTGATGACATGCTTATCATTAGCCCCTCTGTGAATGCTATTAAGATTGTTCAAAAGTGCCTTTGTGAAAACTTTGTTATGAAAGACCTTGGAGATGCTAAGAGAATCCTAGGGATTAATATACTTAGGGATAGGAGTAGGTGTACCCTTACCCTGAACCAAACCTCCTATTTAGAAAAGGTCTTGAAAAAGTTCAATCTTGACTCTACCCAGCCTGTGAATGTTCCTTTAGCACCCCATTTTGTGCTAAGCAAGGACCAGTCCCCAAGGACTGCTCGTGAGATAGATAGGATGAATGTTGTACCTTATTCCAGTGTTACAGGGTCAGTAATGTATCTCATTGTAAGCACAAGGCCTGATATAGCTTATGTTGTTAGCTGCTTAAGTAGATATATGGCAAACCCTGGTATGTCTCACTGGACTGCCCTTAAATGGCTCCTTAGATACCTTAGGGGTACATCTTCTCATGTTCTTGTGTTTTCTAAAACTGAAATTGGCATTTTACTTACTGGCTATGTTGACTCCAATTATGCAAATGATAGAGACAATAGAAAGTCTACCACTTCCTATGTTTTTACTCTTTGTGGTTCCTGCATAAGTTGGAAATCCCAACTATAACCTATTGTTGCACTGTCCACTAATGAATCTGAATACGTGACAGCCACTGAAGCCTTTAAAGAGGCTATTTGGCTTAAACGTATGCTAACTGAAATTGGTTCTCTTAAGCAGGTTGTGACAGACTACTCTGATAGCCAGTCTGCTATCCAATTGTGCAAAAATCTTGTATTCCATGACAGGACAAAGCACATTGATGTCAGGTTTCATTTTATAAGGAATATTGTGGATACAGGTTGGATAAAGCTGTCCAAGATACCTTCCGAATTTAACCCTGCTGATATGGGGACTAAATGTCTCACTTTTGAAAAACTGTTGTCTTGTAAACGTATTCTTAATTTAGATTGTGGCTAGATAAGAACTGGAAAACAAGAAAAACCGGTGATGATGATTCTCCCTTTCACGTTGTGCTCTACACCACCGAGGGGACCAATAAGGTGGAGATTGTTGATGATATTGGTCCACCTCACCCGGGCCACCTATGTGTTGTCTTTGGTCCACCTCATTTATTAAGTTGGTCTCCTATTAATTGTCCTGGCCCAATTGGGCTGTCTACCCGACCAAGCCCACTCCCCTTTGTTTGTTCTATTCCCAGCCCATTCCCCTGTGGCCCTATGTTATATTATCTGGTTCTTTCTCGAATCTCCTATTTGACTCGTCCCTTTCATCTCTCTTTCGATGAAGCAAACGGTTGGTTTCCCTAGACCTAGATTGAGAGAGAGACAGTTCCCTGAGAGTTTTAGCTCCGGCTGTACTCCGGTGATACTTTGGGGTTCCCTTGGGGGTCTTCACTCTAGTCTGGTAGTGTGGTGAGTTGTTTACTCCTCCTGTGGGGCTTCTGGGCTGGGGTCTGGTTCTGAGTGTGAGGGTTTGTTGGCTGTCGCCCTTCGTCTTCCCTGGTTGTAACTCTGGTGGTGAGTGTGAGCAAGCCTTTGGGCTTTGTGGTGATTGAGGTCTGAGTCGGTCCAGATTTCCAACAAGGTGTATATGAAATTAAATTACCTTCTTAAATGCATATCAAAACAAATGAAATCTTACATCGGAGAAGATGAAGGGGTCGAGGGGATGAAGAAGGCGACAAAGATTGATGGCGATCCTATGTGGACGAACTGGGTCCTCAGACCTCAGCGGCTAACCTAACTAACCCCATGGAGTGGTCCAAATGTGTGGAAAAAAACTCAAAAAGAGAGAAGCGGTAGAGGATTGACCTGGGTGGAGTGGGCGAGGCTTTACTAACGGGATGGTAGATGATAACGTTTATTAACGACAAAAGGAAGTTTTTTTTTGGAAGAACAACAAAAGGAAGTTGTTAAGGCAGAACCACTACGAGTATATTTTCTTTCTTGGTTGATGAATAAAACTATTATAATAAAGTTGTTGTGTAACAAAAAAATAAAATCAACGGGATGAACCGTTGCTCAGATAATCAACGATAAAAATACCGTTGCCTAGAGCCAAAAGGTTAAAACCAATTTTATTCACAGATAATAAGAATGAACCCTGGTGAGGGGTATAAACAGCTTTCTACAAGAAACCCTAATCAACCCCAAATTAATTAAATTCTAATTAGGCCCATACTAACTCTACTAAGTACTCTACTAAGAAAAGGCCCAAACTAAAACATAACATTAACTTAATAATAATAAATAAACTATAAAGACAGCCCGTCACCGGCCCACGAAAGTGGGCCCAAGCCCGATCCCGCCCCATGCTCTTCCCGATACCTATCAATCCATCCTCCTTCAAATTAACCTTGTCCTCAAGGTTAAAATCTCGCGGATCGGGGACTGAATTTTCCAGCCATAGAATAGAGCGGAAAATATCCTTCATCTCTTTCCTGGCATGTTATTTCACAATACTCATGTTGTTGGGGGTCTAACTCTTCATCCTCCTCAGCTATCATTACCCGCAACTGCTTAAAGGGACAGTCATGCTCCGGTGTAAATGATTTCTTACACCTAAAGCATAATCCTTTCGTCCTCAATTCTGCTAACTCCTTTGGCGCAAGACAAGTGAACTGAGAGTGTGTCGTAGGCTGGCCGAACAGCCCTGACTTCGTCCCCGGAGGCTGTCCAATGTCTTTAGGATAACTGCCATTTGATCCTCTTAAGCCGCCACCACTTATGGCCGTGTTGTTACTACCACTTGGGCGCGAAAAACTGCTCGAACACAAGCCCGTGTTGTAGGGTTGACTTTCCCAGTCTCCATCTTGAAAGGACAAATTGTCCTCAAAATCTCTGGCCAAATCCATTGCAATCTCCAGGCTGTTTGGTTGCACCAATCGTAAGGATCTCTGAATCGGTCCCTTCAGCCCGTTCATGAAATACCCCAAATAATGACCATCGGACAACCCAGGAACCTGACTGGCCAACTGCACAAAAAGGCTATTGTATTCTTCTGTGGTTCCCAACTCTTTGGCCCCGGACACCCGTTCAAATTGGTTGCCCTTGAACCGTGAATCAAAACGGGCCACCAGTGCATCTGCGAATTCCTCCAAAGTCAGGCCCGGTTTCCGTGCCTTCAACCAGGTCAACCAGTACAGGGCAGTCCCTTCCATGGCTACCGTACTTGCTGCCACTTTGCTTCCAGGTAGGGTTTGATGAATTTCAAACTATTGCTCAGCTCTGGCCACCCATCCGATAGGATCTTCGCCGTCAAACGAGGGCACCAAGGTGGTCGTTATGCTGCGCGACCCACTGCCGACCATGTGCGCTGATGCGGCATCGCCGACTGACGCCGACTCTTTTTCCGGCGGTGTCATGGCCCTTGCGAGTGCATCGAGTGACGCTGCAATCTCTGTCAACTGGATCGGCTGCGCATCCAGCTTCCGTCCGTGTGCGTCGAGCTTCTCATTCATTAAGGCTTGCTCAGCTTCTACCTCTGTTGTACGATCAGTGTTTGATCTCGTCATTCTGGCGGAATGAGATCCGGCAGGTCGGGCCAATTGTTGTGTAACAGAAAAATAAAATCAACGGGGTGAACCGTTGCCCAGATAATCAACGATAAAAATACTGTTGCCCAGAGCCAAAAGGCTAAAACCAATTTATTCCCAGATAATAAGAATGAACTCTGGCGAGGGGTATAAATAGTCTTCTACAAGAAACCCTAATCAAGCCCAAATTAATTAAATCCTAATTAGACCCATACTAACTCTACTAAGTACTCTACTAATGAAAGGTTCAAACCAAAACATAACATTAACTTAATAATAATAAATAAACTATAAAGACAGCTCGTAACCGGCCCACAGAAGTGGGCCCAAGCCCGGTCCCGCCCCATGCCCTTCGCGCTACCTATATGATAAATTACCAATACCGATAATTGGGCCTCATTTGACCAACCAGTCAACCTTATGCCCTTTCCATGGTCCAAATAGAATAGCCACCACCATATACATGTTATCTAGACCAAGATGAATATAATATGTGGTCCCGGAAATATATGGTGGTTCACGCTCCTGATGTGGGCCCCACGTGCAATTCACTATTCACGCAAAAGTAGTAAAAAAAAATACAACCTCGTAAATTCATTAACCATTTCATAAGGTTCGATACATTATTTATACAAAATTAAATATACTTGGGGACAGTGTTACATTTGATCAGGCACATACTGAGAAATCAAGTAAGGAATCGATGTTGACCCCTTCCCCGATTTTCGATTGAAGGTGCGATCAGCCGAAAACATAAAAGAACGCACTCCATGCTAGGTTATATAGATATAAAAAATTAGTGTCTTAAGCACACTCCGAAGGCTAGTTGGTAGAGCAGGTAGCCCCTCTTAGAAGAGTGTAAAAATACCCTATTCTGACATAGGTATCCAGATTCTACCGACAATGATCATTGGAGAACAAAACTCAAAAGATGGGAAGTTTTTTTAAAAATAGATTGATACCATAGTACCAGTATCGTTGTGTCAATATGATACTGAGCTTGTTTTTGTGTGGAGGTTAGATGATTTCAACACCACAGTACTAGCACAGTTGATGATTCCAATTCTCGGGTTCTCGATCACCCAAAACTATATCATTACCCAAACCATGACGTATTATGCCTGGAAAAAAGAAGGGAGACATACCAAGATCCCCGATTGAGCCCCATTCTTGTTACATTTGAATATACACCGGATCATCGTATATATTGAAATATGAAACATGATGAGTAAAAAATTGGGGTGATTGAACTTAAATTGTCACGCCCTGTACCTTCCGGCAACGTCAACAACCACCATATAACCCGTTAAGGGCAACCACAGTCCACCCTTGCCGAAATATACAAGACGTCGGGTATATCATACACACTAAGTATCCCATAACAATTAAATAAGCTAAAACAATTTCATCATTATACAACGGAAAATAATAATTAAAATAGTAATTAGCCACGGAGGGCATAATGCAGGCACGCAGGCCAAATACATGAGTAAAATAAAAATATTATTTAGCCATGAGCATTTTAAGTGAAGTTTAAAACGGAGAGGGGGAGCACGAATCAAGTCTTCTCCTAAGCGCACTCTCTGCAAGAGTGGCAGCAACCCTGTGACAGTGTGATGATCCATTGGATTCCGGGCAGGCACTTAGCAGGGGAGGATTCTGGGATATGATTGAGATTGAATTGGTTTATGTGCACAACGAGGACGTTGTGATCCTAGGGGGGGGGGGTGATTGTAAAATTTGAGATTAATTTAAAAGAATTAATAGTACTACTCATACCAACAATGTCCATCTCCTTTTAAGGGAGCTCATGACCTACAACCCCAAGTAAAGCGTGTTTGCACATGAGTAGTCTCGGGATGGGTGACCCCCCTGGGAAGTTTCTCAAGGTGCACACGAGTGAAGACAAAGTGCGCGTTAAAGGTTTGTGGATGTTTATGGGGACACCACTAGAGGTCTGGAAGATTATTCTTGAGTAACTACCTCAGGTCCTACTAGGCGTGGTGTTACATATATCATCTTACCTTCTCCCTTTCGCACCTTTGGTGAAAGAAGATATGTTGGATAACATATTCTAAGGGAACCCAAGGAGAATATAGGTGGTAGATGCAGGGCAGATTGAACATAGGCTATCGATTCTACTAGATCCTAATGTTTTAGAGCTTATTCGATGGGTATCCTTTTACGATATTTGCTTTGCTAAATCGCGTTATCACATGAATATAGCGATCGAAGGGCGATGGCTTGATTGCATCCCAAGGAACAAGTTTTCTTTACCCAGCTTCCTTTTTTATAACAAGGCACAAATCCCTGACCCCTGGATGCACCAACAATTGACATAGGGGATTGGTTGCCTAGGTTTCTCAGTCTGGTATCATGCACTTTGCATTCATGATATTTACATTCCATTGAACTCGCACATCGTCCGTACGACTGATTGAAGGAAAGAATACTATTGGACACGTGGACCGTGTAAGAGAAATAACAATTCTATACTATCAAACTCCCCCTACTTAGTCTATTGATTGTCCTCGAGTAAAAGTCAACATAAGAGCTCACAATAATCCATTGAATAGATAAATTCAAAGGAATGAAATGTTCAGTTTGTTCATCCACCCTCAAAGTACAGAAAAAAGAGGGTCTTCATGGTCTTCAAGAACAAATGTTCTTTTCATTGATTTTATCCCAAAAACTCCCAAGTAAAACGAGTTCCTGTATAACCTCAGATAAAATTTCCTCTGATTCTCTCATTCTACCTAGGAGCCTTTTCAGGGTTTCATCCTAACCTCTCTTTTTATTTTCCATTTTCTCCCAACTCACTCATTTTAGCCACTCTTGTTTAGATTGCCCAATATTTGGGTTTTCAACCTAACTAGCATTTTTTCTTTTATTTATTTATTCTTTTTGTTTGTTTTTTTTTGTGTGAAGAAAATAATGCAAGTTACAATGTAGAAAATGAATGAATACATACCAAATGAGTGACTCCCTCTACTTAGTCCGAGCACTGTCCCTAGTGCTCCCCGCCACCATCATCGCCTTGGTAGCCATGAATTCTTTGTTCTTGAGAATTGAGAATTTTGGGGCTGTTTTTTTTTTGGGGGGGGGGGGGGGGTTGGGGATTTGGGGAGGGTAATTGGGTTTTGATGGTATGGGATTGATGAGGGAGATGAGGAATTTTTTATGGGTTTAATTTGGGAGTTTTTGGTGATGGATTGGGATGATTTGGAAGAGGAAATTTCGTGGCTATATATCATATGGAGGACCCCTAGGCTTGTTCTACATGTTTAGAAGTGTAGAATGAGGGGTTGGAAGGTGGTTCTAAGTCCAAGAACGGACTTAGAAGCCAAAATTACAGGTTCGACGGAAAATAACCTTTTAGAGGTTATTTGTGTTGATATGGGCTTTGTGATGTTAAAACCTTGTTAGGAGCTTGACTAAGGTGTTCCTATTACTTCCACAAAGTCAGAAAGAGTCAGCGGAGTTATCGCCGGAGTTCATCAAAGTTAGTCGGAGTTTCGTCGGAGTTTCGTCTGAGTTTCATCGGAGTTTCGTCGGAGTTCAACCGAGAAGGGTAGAAATTCTTAAAGCTCATTTGAGGTGAGTGGATGGCTTAATGTTTTGTAACTTTTGGGTTAAGCTTGAGATTACCTAAGTAAATGTTATATGTGTTCATAATGGTGTTTAAAAGAGATTAAACATGTGATTAGACAACGTGATTAGGCTTATATGAAATGAATTATTGAGATATGCATGAAATATGGTATGAAAATGTTTATAAAAACATGTGTGATGTTTAGAAGAATAAAAGAGGCATAAAATGGTTGTTTATAACTTAATACACGTTGTGATTAAGTTTGACACGAATTGGATTTGAAATGCCTGGTCAACGAGGAGTTGACCGGTTGCCCAGGGGGCAACCGGCGCCGGTTATATGTAAAACCGGCGCCGGTTTCGGTACGGGGTGCCCGATTAAGTAATATTAGTTATGAAGCGGCGCCGTTCAGGTCTGAACCGACACCAGTTTGGCCTTATTTTACCTATATGTTGATTTTCAATGTGTGAATTGCATGGATGATTTTTTGCTTAGGCCTTAAGATTTGGTTTAGTCTTGATTATTGATTATGATATAGATCCTATCTAGTATGATATGTGGTAGATCATAGGTCGGGTGGAGTACCCAGGGATCGGGCGTGTATCCTCAAAACTCGGTTATAACGGGTGGAGTACCCAAGGATCAGGCATGTATCCTCAAAACTCATAGATACAGTTTAGTAGTTCAGGATCGGGCGGTGTCCTTATGATATTTGATGTGGACGAGGAGTCTTATACACTCATAAGTCTATGGGTGGGTTGGGATTTTTAAGTCAAGAACATTGACTACTACTATTTTCCCAAATAAACAATGACCTACGCGTCAGGTATTTCCAAGTGTATATAAGTACTGATATGTATTTTATAACTTGGGGAAAAGGAGTATAAGTATATGTATCACCCTATGTTTGGGTATTATATTTTAAACGTTAGTTATTCTACATTTAGCTTGTTACTCGCTCGTTATTCGCGTACTGACCCCTTCGGGGGCCCCGCCATTTCAGGTTGAAGCTAGAGCTTGTTGTCTACACCTTTGCCTGGGTGGAAAAAATCTAGAGGAAGATGTGGTTCCTGCGTCCTTAACTATTTCAAATTGTAAATTATGCTCATGGAATACTTTATAAATGATTACTTCGTTTTGGGCCCGCGAGCCTACGTTTTGCCATATGTGGCCTATGATTGACCATTGAATATTTCCGTTATTCATTCAATCTATGATGTGATGTTGTTATATATGCTTACTTACTGAGTATGGTATGAACAATGTTCATGAACGCCTTGTGTGATTAAGTGAGGTTGACTTGCGAGTGACGTCACTCGAGCACACGGCAGTTGTACACGCGCTTAGATGCGATCTGGGGCGTGACATCATAAATGTAAGACCAGTAAGTCATATACCAGGGATTGATGGGTTGTGAACTAGAGGATCTTGTCATTCTTCTAGATGATGGTTGTTGCGATTGTGAACTAAAGATTCTTCTTCTCTTTCTTGAACTTCTTGCATTTGGAGTGGAAGCATTGGGGACAGATTTAGTGGTGCTTTGCACCACCTTAGTGTTGATAGTAGATTCTTGATTCGCAGCTTGATTAGCATCACCATGTGCACTTGTTGTGGAAGATTTTTGTTTCCTCAACCTCATTCTTCTCTGGCATTGGGTTTCTCCTATGAGGGATGCCTTACATCCTCAAACATTATGCCCCACCTGCTTACAATTACCGCAACCAACTTGCTTCCCAACCCTAGAAACCTTATATGGATTCCTTGTTTCTTCTGGATCTTTAATCCTCTTTTTCTTTGGTCTACCAGCTGGCTTTCTTGGAAATGGTGACTTTATGTCAGGGAAATTAGTGCTTTCCCGCTCTTCTTTACTAAGGACAAGGTGGATCATATGCTTACACACAACTAGGTAGGTAGATTTTTGAATAATATGAACTGATATAGTCCTCGGACTTTTCACTGTTAGCATAATAGCAAACACTCTGTGTTTGCATGGGATTCCATTTAAATCCCACATTCTACAAGAGCAAGTTCTTTTATTCAAGTTCACCACATAACTTCTATCAAAATATTCAACCTCGCAAAGATTTTCACCGGTCGGTGTGCAAAAACAATTCCTACTATCGTACTCCATTTTTTCTATAAGGTCATGTTTGTTAGGACAAATATCCCCCTTATATTTCAGCATCCCAATGTACTTGACATGAAACATCTTAAATTAACCTTTATCTAATCCATTGAAACATGCTTAAGATAGGCGAATCTCTAGCTCTAAGGATATAAGAATTGAAAGACTCACACATGTTGTTTTGTAGAGCATCAGAGTGTGTATGTGGTGAGAAATGAGCCATACTCCAAGTCTTGGGGTCATACTGCATCAACCAAGTGTGGGCAGCCTCATCAAAAAATTTAATGGCTTCCATATGTCTCCGCCCAGGACCTCAAACTCCCGATGCTTGCAGCTAACCACAACTTATTCTTGTACTTCCCACCCTTAAAACCTTCATGTAGTTCTCATACATGTGTTTAAAGCAATATTTATGCTCATTTGAGAGATTCGCAGCTTTAAAAGCCTCCACTAACCCCTGAAATAAATTTGGAAGTTCAAAGGTTCCTTTAGATATTTTATGAATTCAACATGTGAGGTGAATCTCATGCCTTTGCACAAATCAGGATGTTTAGATCCATTGTCTGCATTACTCAGGTAAATTCCCCTCATCATTTGAAGATCCATTGTAGTTATGTAGATCTTCATTGTAGGTAGCCTATTCATTGAACTCATCCAACTCTTCCTGGTCATTCACAATTTCTTCATTAACTTGTTCCACATGCCCTTCTAACTGGAGTGCTTCATCTTCACTAATCACATCCTAAAACACTTCATCTTCACTCTTTTCTAAATCTTCATATAACCAGCTGTCTTCACTAAGGTGGGAAACAAACTATTGTTCAGAAAAAGTTTCACTCACACTCCTTGACCGTAGGTATACTTCATCTTCATTGTTAGTGTGGAATTATGTTTGTAGAAATGTAGGAATTGCCTCTTCAGTCTGGGAATTAAGTGGAGTGTGGGATGACTCCACACGCATGACAGGTTGTAAAGCTTGGGCTGGTGTACAAGTATGGGTTGCATCTCCACTTTGAGTTGGTGTACAACTTTGGGCTGCATCTATACTTTGTACTCCCTCCGTCCCACAATGATGGTCCTGTATTTCCTTTTTGGGATGTCTCAAAATGATGGTCATGTTTCCCTTTTTGGAAAGAAAGATGTGGTCCATATCATTTCACTTTATTATATTCAAATCTCAACCACAACTTTTACCTTTTCGATCACTTTATTAAAACTTGTGACCAAAAGAAATGATACTATCAAATTGGGACGGAGGGAGTATGATTTGAGGGGCCTTTTGATAATTTCTCTTTCCCTCTCCCTTTTGTACTCCTCTTTGATACAACATACAATTCAATATATGGATCCATTATGTTGGCAAGAAGCATGTCGTGTACATCTTTATCACACACAATTTCCATCAAAGCAACTGGGCCACTCACATCTCTAATTTAATAACCTTCTGGCCACATTTGTACACCATCTGTAATATGTATACCCCAAGTCCTCTTCAAACCCATCTAATTCGAATTTACCGAGGTAGTCAATGTCTACCTTTTCCTTTTTCGTGACCTCACCTCCCAAATATTTCTTTTTCTTTTTTGCAGTCCCATTTACCATCATGGCGAATCAACAAGTTGACATACTCTGTCATTCGAACCTATACATACATTTTATTAAACCATACATTACACATTCCACACATAGCTATGACATTTACGCACATTCCAGTCCAAAATTAAAACAATGCGTACGAAATCAAAGCATAAATGGTGTACTTACATTTCACAGAAGGGCCAGATATTTACGACTCACCGTCTTGTAATGTCACTTCCCCAGCAAATTCGCCCTTCTATTCCGACGTTCACTTCGGTTTACTGCCGGCGCCGATATACCCTGTTGCGCCCTTCTCTTCATCGCTAAACCTATATTTTAGATTAAAGAATGTTTTTATTCAATTCCAACTAATGATGTGTTGGAGTGTACATGGCCAGATAAATGATGCCACATAAGCGAAGAATTACACCGTAAAGGTGGGTGTCCCGAGTGAGATAACCGAGTAAAATCACGAGCCTGTGATCGTCAAGAATTGAATCTCATGCCTCTATATGAAAACACCCCAAATCACAAGTACATTTAATGTACTTTTCCCTATTTTTAAATCGGGGGCACTTCCACTTTTTATATTAAAATGTAATTTATGAACACAAAAAATTCACATATGAGGGCATGTGCCCCCATCGAACAACATGTACATCCGCCCTTTGCCGACACCTAATACACATAGACACAATATACATGACTTGCGCTAACACACCAACTCAGTCAAATATGTGGTAGGTACGATATTCTTATTTTTTAAATAGTTAGCATAAATGAGAATATACAATTTTGCTCCAAAAAATTGGAAAAATATGTCTTTCTCGCGAACTCATATAATTCAAGACACATTTATTCATCATATTTTGTTATTTTATTTTATTTTATTTTATTTTTATGCAATACCTTTGATCCATCAAGTATTGTATCATTTTAAATCATACGGAGTATGAAGTATGTCATTTTTTAGAAAAAAAAATCAAAACCTAATAATTTTTTTATTTCTTTTTTCAAGTTTTGAAGATGCAAGAATGCAAGATCGAACCAAAAGTGAACTGAGTTTTTTAGAGGTGTTTGGAACTGATTCTGATTCTGCTTCTTTTTTAAAGTAGAAGCAGAATCAGAATCAGTTTTAAGAAGCCGGTCACACTCAATTCTAATAAAACTGATTCTAAGAGTAAATTAGAGCAACAGAATCACTTTTGCATTTTTAGGGAACACTAAAACCTTATTTTAAAATCAAATCCAAACACCTCTCACCCATTCCGCCATTGTGAGCCATTCTCCTCTGTCAAATTTTGACTGACCTGGTCACCTGGGAAAAGAGGGAGCCCCGTAATAAGATACTGTTCCGTATATATCCGTGTCACACGCTTTGTGTTGGTATAGGGCGTTGTTGTTTGTTTACCAGAGCTGCCTTCATATAATTCTGGCGTGTAAGCTACAGAGTACAGACGCTTTTATTGCATTCCAGCTTCCCCTTTTGTTTTGCGTCCTTTTTCTTCCCTTATTTTATTTAAATCAACTCGCAGTTTGAATTTCTTGACCCCCAGAAGGCCCTAGCTGCTTACCTGAACAAGGATTGCTTGATATTCCTTGAGGATTTCAAGCAAACAGTTGATCGGCATCTAGTTTGTAGAATGTTGACTTGTTCATTTAGCTGATTTTTCCCACTTTCAATATACATACATAATTCACTGGCATGTGTGTGGGATCATGTAGGTACTCTTACTCTTTTCTTCATTGGATTGCTTTGTACTCCGATTTTATAATGAACGAGCAACCTGGGATTTCAAGGGCCAGCTCATCGTGCTCTATTTCGAGTGCTAGCTTGAAAAGCAGTTCATTGGGTACGCAGGATGATCATACTATTGCTAAAATATTAGCTGAGGAGGAGGAAAATTCTTTGAAGCACACAAGCAAGCTTGGAAAGAGGCTTTCTCATTTAGATTCGATTGCGGTATGTTCAAGTAAATTAATGATATCAGAATTAAAAATGCTTTTCATTTTTTGCTAGAGCAGTGTGACTGAAAGAGAAGTAAAAATCTTAGATCTAAATATAGTATGCATCATTGGAAGTAAGGCACAATGCTTTGCTATGGTACAAGCCTACAAGGGATTGTATTTGTGTAGATGTATAAAGGGACAACAATTAAAATTTAAAACTCTTAAATGCCCAATTACATTGCCTATCTTTCTAAGGCTATATTGTATTAACAATACTGGCAGCACATCCCAAGGGTAGTTCAAGCAATACCTGATACTAATGATGCCACATTAGACCACGCAAGGCTTTCTGAAAGGTAACCCATTACTCTGCTTGTTTTAGTAGGGGGGTTGAGTGAATGGTTACCAAAGTATGCTCCATGTATAAAGTTGGTAGTAAGCTTTAATTTGGATCACAATAAATATTTCAGAAAATTACTACATGTATGATTAAGAGATGGTTTAATTCTCAAGATTTGAACAAGACAATGTTTTTCCTGATTTGAACATCCTAGGTTGCCCATATTGCAGTTTATTTTATACATCGTTTTCCCTTAATTGATATGTGTTGTGATACTGTTTTCTAAAAACTGAAAATGGTCATATATTGGGACAGCTCCTATCCTTAGTCACATATTAGTAAAAATCCCTATTTTTTTCTATTCCACTGAAAGTTCCGTCTCAGCTTTTCATGACAACTTTTATTCCATGTTGCATCCTGATCTCCGCGCGGACTCCATGTAATCTGGACTATATGTTCTTCAGTCTAGTCAGCTATTTGATAAAATTTAGTCATTTAAGCTAAACATATCTTACCAAATGGTTAGGATTAGAAAAATAGGATTGTGGAGTGATTATATGCAGTCGACACAGACACTTGGATACAACATAGGATAATTTTAGCTAAAAATATGTGTGATTGAACCACATATTACTTGAATATTTAGTGAATATTATGGTGAGAAGATCACATGATCTTTAAACATTTTTTCTCAATTCTGATATCAACCATTGAAACGAGTGAGCTTCTTATGTGTATAGTTCCTTTGGTGGAGGTATGAAGCCCCTGAACTTAAGAGATGATTGGAGGACCAACATCCTCTGGGAGTTTGATAACTTTTGCATGTGGTTGTCTTGTTAGTATAATTTCCCTATATTGGCATCATTTATAATTTCTCTATTTTCCATCATTTCCAAATTCCAATAGAGCCAAAGATTCACTATATTTTGGCTTGGGAATATGATGAAATAAAACAAAATGACTTGGTAAACTGTCTGTGCTTCTTTTGTTATGAAGCAACGGTCAGTCCATGCATTTTTTACACGATTTTCATCATGGGTCATCCGGAAATAGTCTCTTTGTGCTTTAGTACAGGGGTAAGGCTGCGTACATCCGACCGCCCTTATCCCGCCGTTGGTGGGGGTCTTTGCAGCACTGAGATAATGTTGTTGTTGGCATCACTTCTCAAGTTCTCTTAATAATTATTGCAGCAATGGTTGTATGCTACTTCATAATAGGTAGTTCAGGTTATCCTTCATTTACATAATTCTCATATGAAGGCAACTTGATACTGTTTTCTTCATTTACATAATTCTCATTTGCATAAGAGGTGATGCAAGAGTTTGTGTTTCTTGCAATGTCATAAAAAATACTTCCCACATCTTTAATGATCGCTCAGGTTGGCAACATATCATCTCACTGAAGTTCAAATGGAAGGAGATGGGAATTGCCAAGTTAGTCTCCTTTAACTTGACTTTTGGAGATATTTCATTATGCAGTCATGTGTGCCATTTGCTGTCTTATAGTTTTGCAAAAACATCATGAATTGTCTCTTTACTTACTATGCCTTTGTCACTGTATACCTCGTTGGACAGTTCCGAGCCCTTGCAGATCAGATTTTTCAAAATCCAGATCACCATAAGTATGTAAGAAAGCAGGTTGTCAAACAGGTGTGATTATATTATTTTTTCTGACTTCTCAGCTTCATCTTTAAGCAACTATTGATTGGAAACTTCATTTGTGGTCTCCTACAGCTTTAGGTGTTTGATCTAACTTCTGTATTATGTGTTATTGTTACAATTTTTGCTTCTTTAGAGGGTAGCAATAAGAAGGATCTTGCAATAATCATTGATACTAATCACACTATGCTATGGTGCATGATTTTACTACTTTATAGTGCTAACTGATTTTAGAAGAGGAGCCTTGGTGCACACATAACTGGTGCACCAAGGCTTGATCCTTATACACCCTTGTTGTGGGATCCTTCACCAGACCCTCACCTTGTGGGATGCCAATGTGCTCCGGGCTGCCCTTTATATAGTGCTAACCGATTTTAGACAATTCACTGAGACCAAATTTCATGCGACCAATCCCAACATAATTGCGATTAAGGTTGTGATGATGATGCTTCCTTTATTTTCTTGGTGAAGTATGCCGATGCTTAATGAATGTAATAGACCATATCATGTTGCTTAAAAACATGCATCCAATAATAAACCAATAAGATCATCCTTCATACAGAAAAATGTAATATACATCCGCCCCTTCAACTCCCCCTTTCATTCCCTTTTTTCTTTTCCCCTTCTCCCTGGATGAACTTACAAAGCAATTCAAGAAGATATACCGTGGTGCATGATGTTTGCCGATGATATTGTATTGATTGATGAGACGCAATCGGGTGTTATAACAAAGTTGGAAGTATGGTGACAAACATCAGAGATCAAGAGTTTCAGACTGAGCCGAAGCAAGATTGAGTATATGGAGTGCAAGTTTAGTAGAGGTAGAAGTAGTAGTGATAGAGTATATTCTAGAAAGAAGTGAGAGCTAGAGAGAGAAGTGCAAGTAAATGCTTCAATAGAATAATTTTGTAACCCCTATAACTACCGCCAGAGGAAGTATTTATAGGAAAAATACGGGCTGGGCCCCCAAGTCTTGGGCTTGGGAGGCCCATTTACAACTGGACCGCTATTGGGCCGAATACAAAGTAAATGATGGGATATATAAATGAATAAGTGTAAAATCTAGTTCTGCGAGTCCTCCGTGGCCGACGAGGGTCTGGCCGACGAGGACACGGCCGATGAGGGCACCGGCCGACGAGGGCACCCTGGTTCCCTGGCTTCAGGATCACATTCTGAGTTGGTCCCTCCTTGGCCGACGGGGGTCCTTTGGTCGACGAGGGCACCGCTTAGTGGCTTGTACTTTCTGTTCTTCTGGGTATGTGGGTCCTGGGGCCTAGACCCATATACTCCATCAGGAGTCCCCCACTCTCTAAGCTGAGATGTAGACGAAGTGAAGGAGAGTAGATTTCTGTGTTTGATGCTCTTGGCCGATGCGAGACCACGTTGGCCGTTCTCTGTCGTGGCGTTTGGTGGCCCTGTTCTGAGTTTGGCCGTTGCTTGCCCCTTGATGCGGACGAGGAAGGCTATTGTTCCTTTGGTGCGCTTTGTTTGTGGATGATGAGTGTTCAAGCACGAGTGGCCGATGAAGGTAGTGTCTATCCTTGGTCGTTGATTGGTTGAGTTTCCCTTTTGGGCTGATGAGGCCGTAGGGGTTGCGTCTTTGTTTTGGGTGGCCGATGAGGGTACTGTGCATTCCTTTTGGCCGTTGTTGATGATACCATGTGTTTTTGGACGACAAGGCATCATGTTGCCCAAGGTTTTGGGGATGATAACAGTCTGGCCGGAGATGAAGTTGTGAGGACCTTGGAGCCGTTGTGGTACATGGACAACAGTGTTTCAGGTATGTTAACCTGTCTTTTGATTCCTGGCTTGAGAGTGATGTGTGGTTTCAAAGCCGATAAGTGACCTGTGATCTCAAGCCATGCTGCGGCCGAAGGTGCACCACGATGTTATGGACGTTGTGGTGCATGTCTAATGTTGTAGTTGTGGACTTTGTATATTTTTGGATTTCTTTGATTTTGCCTGTTATTCTTGAGGCCGGTGTAGTCCCCCACTCCCCCACTGCTTCAGGCCGAAGAGTGAGTGAGGGGTGAAGGAGTAGCTTGAAACCTAGGCCGAAGCGGGATCCTCATAATGCCCTTGGATCCAACCCTTTGGCAATTTCCTGACCAAGGTAACCCTGTGGGAGAACCCTTGGACGCAGGTCGCTTTTCAAAGGGTTATCATCAAGGGTTTAGTGCGAGGGGCTCATGGCCGTTGGGTTCCTTTCCCTTGGGGTTTTGTGGGAGGTGAAGCCTTCCTTTGCATAATGTGTGGCCCCTTGAATGGCCGAGCCAAGTGCTACCTGGGTAGCCGTAGTCTGTGTTGGCCGTTGAATGCCCTGGCCGTTGTGGGTGTTATTTTTCCTTTCTTGATCCGTAGGGCCTGCTTCGGTGGTGGGCCGCTGATTTGTGGAGGGGGTTTGGCCTGTAGACAGAATGGTGGCATCCCATTGGTGGCCGTTGGTGTGGCCACTAAGGTGATGCCACATGTAGTTACCGTTAGGAGGGTGGGCTATAAATACCTTCCCCGTTCCGAGGACAGACCTCATTTGCATTCTGAGTAACGAAGTGCTGCCCAAATTTTTAGAGAGATAAAGCCCTTGCTGAGTGTTCTTCACCTCCTTCAAAACTTCAAGGTTAGTTCTTCAATCCGTTCTTCTACTTCTTACATATTTCGCTCTTCTAGGCCTTGATCTAGTGTTAGTCACAAAAACACTTTAGATCTAAAGTAGCTCTCCTTAGTGCCTTAGGAGTTGTTTAAGATGAAATCCTTAAACGAGGAGTATTACCCGTACGACGACGAGCCCTCCGCCAAGTCTCTTGACTATGATGTGATCGAGGAGTGCGCCGAAGAGATCGAACACCTGAGCCCGTACAAGTCCGAGGATAATGCGGACGGGGAGGACGAGGACGAAACAACCGCTTCGTCATCTGAGGGTGAGGATGTAGGGGCCTCCCGCGTAGTGGACGGGGCGTCCGCCTCTACTACCATTCTGTGCCCGAAGCCGGTGTCTGCCGTGAAGGGGCTGCCGCGGCCGAAGAGGAACATGCGGCCGAAGAAGGGGCCAGGTTTCTCTTACCTGGACCTTACCAACATTTTCCTCATCAAGCCGGAGAGCAGCGCCGCTGATTATCTGGTCGTACAGATGTATGTGGGGCCGTTTGGGAGGGTTAGGGCGTCTAGGCCGATGGACCACGTGCTTAATCCGCCACCGGGATATGATAGAACACTGGCAGTAATGAACACAGAACAATCACAATTCTAATGAAATTGTAGCTAGAACAGATCACAACAGTTTATAGAGAGAGAAAGTCGGTAAAGGAGTACAGGGGTGGGACAGTTCGAGATGCCCAATCTCCAAGCTACCAGCCAATGACCAAATAACAGCCTGCCTTATTTTGTTCTCTACTTACTATTTATAGCTAATTATCCACGCAGGGACCAACCGAACTAGCTATTATTTAGTTAAGTAATAATACTACTTATTTCTCCTCTTGTACACCTTATTGAAGTATTGAATAGGCTGTTGCTGTCCCCCAAGCCTATCATTACTCCCCCTGGAATTTCACCTTGTCCCTAAGGTGAAGATCTGGAAACTGTTCTGTCAATGACTGCAATACTTCCCATGAATCTTCAAATTGAGGCAAGTCTTTCCAGTGGACTAGGACTTCCATCTTTCCCTCCTTGTTCACCCTTGAATCCAGCACTTCTTCTGGTTTCACACGCAGTTCCCATTCATCACTCAGACATGCTGGTAGAGGCTGAATTACAGTGGTAGATGGTATAGCTTTCTTCAAAAGTGAGATATGAAATACTGGATGAACTTTACTGTCTGTAGGTAATTGAAGTTTAAAGGCTACCGGCCTGATATTTTCAATTATCTCAAATTGGCCATAATATCTGGGACTTAGTTTTTGGTTGATTCTCTTGGCCAGACTCCTGAGCTTGTAAGGTTGTATTTTCAAATAGACCATATCTCCCACTGTCAAAAACACCTCTCTCCTGTGCTTATTTGCCTGTTGTTTCATTTGATTTTGGGCTCTTTCCAAATTCTCCTTCAATTCTCTGAGCATCATGTTTCTTTCTGCAGTCATTTTGGAGACTTCTTCAACAGCTGTAATACTAGCATCCCCTGTAATCACTGTAGGAGGGTCCTGGCCATATAAAGCTTTGTAGGGTGTCATTTTCAGGGAAGTATGATAGTTGGTATTATACCAGAATTCTGTCCAAGCTAACCAGTCAGCCCAATGTTTAGGTTTCTTGCCAGTAATGCACCTCAGGTAGGTTTCCAAGCATCTATTGACTACTTCTGTCTGTCCATCCGTTTGTGGGTGATAAGCTGTGCTGTATTTGAGTTTAGTTCCAGCTAATTTGAAGAGTTCAGACCAAAAGACACTCATAAATATGCTATCCCGGTCACTCACAATAGTTTTGGGGAACCCATGCAACTTGACTATCTCTCTGATGAAAAGTTCAGCCACCTCTTTGGCATTAAATGGATGTGATAAAGCTAAGAAGTGAGCTGACTTGGTCAATCTGTCCACAACCACCATGATAGTATCTTTTCCATGTGATTTTGGCAGCCCTCCTACAAAATCCATGGAAATGTCAGTCCAGAAGTAATGCGAGAAGGACCCCAAACATCTGTAAAGATTAGGTCAAGAGGGCCAGAACTTGAAAGTGAAGATTTAGTAAAAGGTAACTTGTGACTTTTATTACTTGCACATGAAGTGCATAAAGAGATATCCTTAGTAACATTTTTAAATGAAACACCAATTGAAGAAATAACTTTTTGAGTTATAGGGAGAGCAGGGTGACCTAAACGACAATGGCATTTATTAAGAGAATATTTTGTAGTAACATTAGCATATGGAGACGAAGGAATCAGTACATCCGGCTGACTGTAGACATCCCCATTATTCATACCCGTAACAAAATTGTTCCCGTTCGCCGGTCCTTTACAAAACAGAAAGAGGGATGAAATTCAATTAGCACATCATTATCACGACATAATTTGGCAACAGAAATTAAATTAGTATGAATTGAAGGAACAAAAAGAGTATTAGGTAAGGAAAGAGAATGAATATTCATATTTCCAACTTGTGCAATCGCAAGACCTTTACCGTTACAAATAAGGAGGGAGTCTGTGCCAGTATAATCTGAAGCCAAGGTCAGGTTATTGAGATTATTGGTGACATGATTCGAGGCTCCAGAGTCGAGCAACCACGCATTTCTATTGGTCACCACAGTATTGGCTTGAGGAGGGTAATTTTGTTGTTCAAATCAGTGCCAAAGTTAAGAGCGAGATGGTTTGGTTTGCCACATATTTGGCATATAATTGTACCTCTAGAATCATTATTGCTCCTGAAATTGTTTCTGCCTCCCATATTATTACCTCCGGGATTATTATTTCCATGTCGATTTGGGTTGTTGAAATTATTGGGCCCCTGGTTTCGGTTATGGCTCCTGATGTTATTTAATAGATTGGTATTGGGCCCGTTAAATTGTCTCTGAAGTTGTGTTGCTGGTCCTGGGCACAATATAGAAGGGTTTTGTGCCTGATTACCTCTTGGGCCATTTGCACTCCTTCGAACGGCCAAGGCAAGAGACTCTCCCGTCTCCGCGATAGCTGAATTAGCGGTCAGCACGGGATTGGAGTTCAGCACCTCCTTCCGTCGAAGCTTGTCTTCATATCCTACGAGCAGCGTATGGATGGTTCCAAATTGAGTGTCGCCTGAGGTCTGGATGGAGTTCGCGATTGCTTCGAACTCTAGCCGAAGTCCTTCCAGAGCTTGAATGAGGAAATCATCATCGTCGACGGGTCGTCCTGCCAGCGCCAGTTCATCAGCTAGGGTCCGGAGTTTGTGAAGGTACTCCCCCACTGGTTGATCTCCCTGCTTCATGTGTCGGAACTGGTCTTTGAGGTTTCTAATTGCGGATGGTGACCGAGTCCCATAGAGCCGCTCAAGTGTCTTCCAGACATCGGCAGAAGTGCGTGCAGAACCAATTAATGGTTTGCAAGCGGAGCTAAGGGAGGAGACTAGGGCGTGGCGGAGGAGTCTGTCCTATCGGTTCCATCTGAGACAGCCGATTGCGTCGCTTTCTGGTGGCAGCGTAGCATCCTCCTCGATGTACTGGCTCAGGTCTGACCCAAACAGAAGGTCAAGAACCTGGTCACGCCAAACCAGGTAATTAGAACCGTCTAATTTTTATGGGAATTGACTGGGGTTAAGCATTATGAGTCCATCAGGGGTCAAGGGGTTGTTGGAAGGGGTAGCCAAGGTTTTAACAAGCGGATTTTCAAGGTCTCCTTGTTCCTGGAGATTCTCTGTCTGTCTGGCTGTATTTTCTTGGTTAGCCATGGGTAGAGGGGCTGGTGAGAGCTCTTACAGCTTTGATACCATAATAGAGTTTAGAAGAAGAGAGAATTGCAGACTGAATTGCATACTTTATTCTCAGGCATACATTGGTATTTATACAATCATTGGGAGCCTATGTAATAATTATAATACTAATTACAAGGATATGTAAAAAACTGAAATTGTAATAATTGAAAGTATTATAAATTAATATTTTCTGGATTCTTCTACAGTAATGTGCTTGATTCACTTTCTGTTGGGGAGTACATACATTGAGTAAATGAGATGTCATAAGTTATAACCAATGCATCCTACCAAAAATTATAAACTTCCAAATACGATTGAATTAATAATTTACTACGTAAAATCCCCAAGATTGTTTGTTCCATGGGAAGTCATCCCCCAAGACTTCTTGCATTCTCTTTTCATGATTTGTGTTGGTCACTTGGTTGCACCCCCAAGGAATCCAATGAACATATTGGAATTTGGGAAGACCCAAGTCAAGGAGCGAAATTATACACCGCTTTTCAGGAATTAAGCCTTCATTTTCCAAGGGACTTGTAACACATAATTTACTTATGTTTGGTCGTCCACTGCTTATACGACGTATAATTGTACTAATGAGTGTATCATCATACACTAGTTATAAAATGATGAACAGTGTCATTTGGTGCTTAATTACTTAGCATAGGCAGCATATGTATCACATCCCACCATTATCCTAAACTTTCTCTAAGCTTAGAGTCTTACATATCCATATTTAATAACAACCAGATTTATGGTTGTTGTGTAATCTGGGGCCTTAGCTTCTAAATTGTTTTCAGCTAAAACATTTCAGAACACTATATGAAGGCTATGTTCCTATGAAATACGAAAGCTACCTGAAGAAAATGAAGAGGTTAGATAACCTTTTCAAGTATTATTGATCTTTAGAGACACAATTGGTTGTGTCTCACTAGGCATTAATATCACTTTACTGCCTGTCAGAAAAGGGGAATGGGGAGACCATGTTACTCTTCAAGCTGCAGCAGACAAAGTACGTTTTTATTTTGTTACCTTTTTCATCTCAATGGTCTGTTTAATTGCGAGAAAATAATTTGACGCAGAGAATAATTTTCTTGGGAAAATATTTTTTCAACACAACATTATCCTAAAATGTCGTTTTATGTAAAATACGGGCATTACATGGAATGATGTGTAGAGCAAAAGAAGTGCAAAACACAGGAAAATTTAGGGAAAAAGCATGTTGCAGGGAACAAGCAGAGCCCTAAGTTATCTTTATTTATTTAACCATTCTTCTCATTGCACTCCACATTCTCTTTAAACATGCTTGTGTATGTGTTTTTGAATTGGTGAACCTATTTCTTTGATATTTTGAAGTGCCTGGATTGGTATTGGTGTAGTCTATACATATAGGCATAACACCCAAATTTGATGTTGGACGTCAACAAGTCTCTACTTCTTAGTTGAATATAGTTTGTAAATTGTCATTGCAATTTACTACATTAGTGTTTTATTTCTTCGCTATTATGTTTTTGCTAAAAATCTAATCCTCTAATTGTTCTCATTGCAGTACTGTGCTAAAATATGTTTAGTCACATCTTTTCGAGATAGATGCTACATTGAGATCCTTCCCAAGGACATCGAACCTGCAAGGGGTATGTATGTAAATTGTAAAAGCACATTTTCTCTTTTATCTCTCCCAAATGGAAATGATCTATTTATTTTTGAATGCTTAGATAATTTCATGCTCATTAGAAAGACAACTTCTCCGTTTATCACGTTTGTCTAAACTAAGTAGCGCCTTCAAATCTTCAATAGCTTTTATAGTTAGTCTGAAATGTTTTTTTGTTTTTTTGAATATAAATGAGAACAAAAGCATAGGGTTTACACAACGTGTAATCAGGAATATCATACAGGAAATTTCATAAAATAGGAGTATAAACCCTAAAATAGGAGAATAAACAAGGCGATTTTACTAAATAGTACTACCTCCGTCCCGCTATGATTGTACCGTTTTACCTTATCGGTCCGTCCCACTAAGATTTTTCCATAGCAAATTTGGCAATTTCGTGTGGCTCTAAATCATTTTTACTTTATTCTTACTTTATCAATTCAATATCAACCACACAAACAGCTTTTTATTGATTTGCGTGCCACTCCCTCTTGTCCCATTGTTAGCGGGACGGAGGGAGTACTATGTTTCCCTCCTATTTAGGGAAAGAAACATCGTACTCACATTTAAGTAAACCACTTTATTTTTACTCCTATTTAAGTAAACCACTTTAGCCGCACCACTAAAGCACAAAATAAAGGAGTTTGTCTCACCCCTCACCGCATCACTAAGCCTTTGGAATTAAAAATGCACCTAGTGCCACAACTATGCTGGATATTGTGGGAAGGATCCCATTAGAAACTGGCACAATCTTCATTGAGATTATGTAAAAAATATTACTAATAAGTGAGTTATGTACAAAAAAATGACATTTTTTCAGTTTCCGCATATGTGACCAAAAATAAGCTAAGACACCATTATACCCCTATACTAATACAATTTCATTCCCTGGTGCTACAGTAATGTCACAGTGACCAAAAGTCCACCATCATCATCATTCATCATCATCATTACCCCAGTACCGCAAAGGCTTCCACCTTTGATGGGGTAGGGGGGTCGGATGTGACCAAAAGTCCACCATCATCATCATTCATCATCATCATTACCTCAGTACCGAAAAGGCTCCCACCTTCAGTGGGGTAAGAGGGATCGGATATACACAGTCTTACCCCTGTACTAAAGCACAAAGAACTTTTTCCGGAGGACCCATAGTGAAAATTGCGTCGAAAAATGCACGGACTGACTGTTGCTTCATAACAAAGAAACGCAGACAGTTTAATGAGCCATTTTGCTTTATTCCATCATATTCTTAAGCCAAAAAATAGTGAGTCTTTGGCTCCATTGCAAATGATGGAAAAGTGACCAAAAGTCCACCAATGACCAAAAATCAACCAGTGACAAAAAATCAACTACCACCAGTCATTGTGACCTCCCGCTACCCGTGCCAGTGACAATTACCTCGTTCCCAGTGACCCGCCGCCCCATTGACCCGCCGCCTTAGTGACCCACCGCCCAGTAACCCGCCGCCCCAGTGACCTTACCCGACACTTGGTCACTATCCCGCATGACCTAGTTAGCTGACCGGTCAATTACAGTGACCCGCCTCACCCGTTACAATTACTCGACCTGTCAGTTACAATTAACCAATTTGATCCGTTAGAGTTATCCAATTTGACCAATTACGTTAACGGGTTCAACCATTTACGGCTACACGGGTCTCATATTGATTACCGACCACCACCTCCGGCCACCCGCGGCGAACACCACCTCCGGTCACCCGCGGTGAACACCACCTCCGCCCACGCCGGCAACCACCACTGCTGGTGACCATCACCTCCGGCCACCGTTGGCGACCACCAACACCACACCCCATCCCCGGCCTCTCCCAGCCCCCCTCCCCTGTGTCACCCCAGTCCCCTGCCTCACCCAACCCCCTGGCTTATCCAGCCCATGCCCCTCCGGCACCACCATGCCCCAACCCCAGCCCTCCGGTACCACCACGCACTAGCCCCCTGCCCCTCCTTCTACCTCCCCGCCCCCAGTCCCACGCCCCAGCTCCCCCAGGCCCTGCCAGTGACCTGTTTTCACAAACCCGGCCAGTGACATCACAAATCCAGCAAGCAGCAACCTTGGATTTCTATAACCAACGAAGAAGGAGATGAAACCGGCGCCCACCCCGTTCCATCTACAGACGTGCACCCGCCTCAGTTGCCCTAACCACCACCGCCCATCTAAAGACCCGTCGTCGTTTACTCACCACCACCACTAGTCGGATGAACTCCGGTGGCGTCTCTGGTGGTCATCCTCAAGCTCCGATCGGGAAAAATCAACGGACTGGAAGGTCGTAGGCTCGTAGCTAGAGTGCCTTATCGCTCGTCGGCTAGAACGATCTCATGCTATGCCGATCTGCTCAAGTACGACGACGGTGGTTGAACCGCAACTTGGACGGTGAGGCGAGGCGGAGAATTGGACGGTGAGGCAAAGATCTGGACGGTGAGGCGGAGATCTGGATGGTGAGGCGGAACAACGACCTGTAAGGTAAGGAGCAACGGCGACTTGGGATGGTGAGGCGGACCAGCGATGAAGAGAACCTTTAGGTCTTGGAAGGGTGCGGAGGAACAGGAAGGTGCGGCGCTGGGAAATGCTATATGAGGGATATTTTAGCCATTTTAATTTAATTCATTCACATTTTTGTCCAAATTTAAACTAGGTCTTATTTTTGTCTTTCCATAACATGGTGGTATTATTTTGGTCATGATTTCATCTTCATTTCTTATAAGTTGGAATTACCAAAATACTGAAGTTAGTAGTTATGTAAAATGTACTTATTGTCTGCTTAACAGCACAATGTATGTAGGTAACCATGAGCTCGTAGTCTACCTAACGAACATATTTTGTTGGTATAATCAAGCAGAGTTATTATCATGAATTCGTTTTGTTTTCGATATGGACCCTGCTTGTGCTCATAACTTGGCTATGTGTCTGTCACCCTGTTACCGTGTTTATTTTGAACCAAATGGATCCAAATGTTTTATATTCAGATTAATACTCACGTATTTATTTAGTTGGTAGATTTCCAGGCGATTGAAAATAAAGCGGATAATGAACAATGATGATCTGAACATGCACAAATTAAATAACTTTAACTTACTGAGTACTTTCTATGGATAATGTTGTATAAGACTTGCATTTGTCAATCTAACCTTGAAGAAGTTATGGCTTTGTCCCTTTCATAGAAGTAGGATAATCAAGATAACGGAAGTATTTATATAGTACACATTTCCATTCTCCAACTATATATGTGTCTTTGAGATTGTGACATGAAATGTATAGTCTCAGTTGATTTTCTAAAATTAGTGAACTCTATAATTTTACATGAGATGGCTATGAATCAATGAAGTTGCTATACTTGTGTCCAATTAGAATATTGATAGTGAAAAATGAACATACACATCGTGGATTATGACATTAGTACCCTATGGAGAAAGTAGTGGTGCATATATCAAACCCTGGCTTTATTCTATACTCATAAATGAAAAACTCATGAATGAAAAATCTTTGGTGCAAAGTAGGATATATACTATCAACATCCTTCAACAAGGTAGCTACAATTTGGAATTTTTACTCATGCTAATAGTGTTGGGGTAATCTATATACTAAAATCTAGATTTTCAAGGTCTGTGTATCATCTTGTTCCTACACATTTCATTCATCAAAGATCGCATTTAGCTCTTGTTTTTCTGCTTTCATTTTCCTGATTTATAAGCTCTCTTTTGAGTGTAGAATTATGGCTGAGCTTTTGGAGTGAAGTACATTATAATTCTTTATATGAAACTGATGGAGGTAACAAAATCACTCTAGATATGATTTAACTTCTAAGTATATATAAAATGATGTTTCCTACTGCTGTCTTGAATCTTGATATACATTTTACTATATTTGAAATACAACAGGGGTCCCTACTCGACACCAGCGCAAGAAGCATTGGCTTTTCTAGAATGGCCATACTGCAGATGTTGTGTGACTCGTGTCTAACACACAAATGCATATATAATGTTACTTTATAGTGCATGCCCCTACTAAAAATATACTCCGTATTTACTTTATAGATGTAATGGAGGATGAATCTTCCTGTCAGGCCAGCCTCACAGGAACCGCTGTCCGGCTGCCTTCATTTCAGGTGCTTCCCGGTGAAATTTTTCGATAAAATTGTGTGAGCATTTTCATCATAAAGTGAAGATTATGTTCACAAAATTTGAATAGGGAAGTCGATTAAAAAATTATTGAAAAACATTGTGCCAAAAAATATATAAAAAACGCAGTGTTTTTCAATAATTTATTTAACCGATTTGCAGATTGAGTTTTAAGCTGAAATTTGGTGGACATAATCTACACTCATGAATAACATATTGACAAAATTTCATCAAAAAATTCCACCAGGAAGCACCTCAAATGGAGGCGGTTGTACGGCGGAAACGCCACTCTGTAATGGAATGTTATAGTTGTTAGGAGAAATGTGTAAATATATCCGAAGTATATGTGAAGGTGCAAATATCCCTATCGAGAAAAGGTACAAATATACCCATGTATTATGGTTGAGAATAAATATACTCTTGTTCAATTTTTTGGAACAAATATACCCCTGGCCTGAAGTATATGTAAAGTGCATATATATCCTTGAACTCTTAAAAAGTGTAAAAATACCCCTCATGTTCTTATAAAGGACCAAATTTACCCTATTGACTTTAAATTGATAAAATAAATTTCAAAAAATAGCAAAAATAAATTATAAATTTAAAATTAAAAATTAAAAAAATTAAAAATGTACTCGTGTCCAATTCTCCCTTTTATTGTTTTTATATCACAAATAAATTTTATCAGTATAAAATATTGTTTTAAAACTTTACTATATATTTTAGATTCTTTCAAAAAAGTGTTAACATATGTGTTGCAATGTAAAAAGAAGTTAATTTTTTCCATTCTTTACACTATAAAATTACATATTTTGTATGATGATAAAAAGTTCAGGATTACAAAATAGTGAATTTAATTTCATTAAAGGTAAACAAAAACAAAGAATGTTATTTTAAAAAATATAACAATGTGTTAAAAATTTCACAAGACTAAAATTAATAGGTATGAATTTGAAGTGCTTCACTTACAAAGGAAAAGTAATAATTTTGGAATTTAAAATTAAAAGTTAATATTTTAACATAATAATAAATATTTGTTTTGAAATTTTGAATTTATAATTTTTTTTAGTATTTTTTGAAATTTATTTAAAGTCGGTAAATTTGTTTCTTTATAAGAGCATGGGGTATTTTTGCACTTTTTAAAAGTTCAGGGGTGTATATGCACTTCAACATATGCTTCAAGAATATATTTGTTCCGAAAAATATAACAGGGATATATTTGTTCTATCCCGCATATTAGAGGGGTATATTTGCACCTTTTGCCTATCCATGAATTTCTAAAGGGTGCAAAAATGCCTCTTATATTCCTATAAAGGAGCAAATTTATACTTACTCAATTTAAATAAATAAAATAAATTTTAAAAAACACTAAAAGTAAATTTAAAATTGAAAAAAAGAATGACTTGTGTCCAACTCCCTCTTTTTTAGTTGTATACACAATTTAATATTGTTTGCATAAAAAAATGTTTCAAAACTTTTCGAAAAATGTGTTAACATATGTGTTGCAATGTAAAATAAATCATTAATTGTATGTATTCTTTCATTTCTTTGCAATATAAAATTACATATTTTGTATGATGATAAATAGTCCAAGATTACAAAAATAGTGAATTTAATTTTATTAGGTTTAAACAAAACCAAAGAATATTATTTCAAAAAATGTAACTATGTGTTCAAAATTCCACAACAATATAAATTAATATTTATGAATTTGAGGCGCATCATTTACAAGGGAAAAATAATAATTTTGCAATTTAAATTAAAGAGCTAATATTTTAACATGAAGTGGACATAACTCTCGGCCAAGGAAGATGTTTGACATAACCAGAATCCTATAAGATAGAAATACACAAGAGAGACCATATTCCAAAATCTTTGATTCATGATTGCAATCATCAAAACTCTTGCCAATTTGAGAAAAGAAGTCAGAAGATTAGATTGTCCAGGAGCTCGTCGCCTAGGACTTTCCTAGGACCGGTTGATATCTAGAATCATTGTTCTCAATAGATGCAATTATTATCACACGGTGTTGATGTATGTATCATATACGGAGTATTAGAGCATGTCTAATGCTACAATGTGCACAATGACATGTGGCATGAGAGATAACCACATAAATATCAGTAAATAAATTATTTTTCTCCTTATTTTAATGGTTTTATATAATTCTGGTAAGTTTTTCTTAACAATGTCAACCACAATGTCTACATCTAGATGACGTTTTTCACATTGTGGCGAAAAATATACCGAAATTGTATAGACCTATTTCAATAAGGAGAAAGATAATTTATTTATTAATATGTATGTGGCTATCTCTTATGTCACGTGTGCACCGTGTAAATTATAGCATTGGGGATGCTCTTATACTCCATACTAGGCAGTTTATGGTATAATATACGCACTCCGCCCAAGGAGAATTGCTACATTCCTATTTGGGTTGGATTTCCATAAAGAAAGGTGCAAACATGCATATAAAGTACTCCCTCCATCCCCATTAATATTAATAAATTAAATTATAAAGACAAAAATATGATTTGTTTTTAAATTTTCCAAAAAATTGAAATATTTAGTGACTAGTTCTCAGTGAGTCATCATCTATCAGTGACTTGTCACTCTGAAATACACCATAATGACTCTTTTCAGTGGCTCATACATAGTGACTAGTAAAATTTTGTCCAAAAAAATAATTAGTCATGTCTTTGTCCAGTGAAACTCTATTGGTAATATACATGTCATTTTTTTCAAAGAGTAATGTATGTGGTTGAATTGATAAAGTAGGAATAAAGTAAGAATGATTTAAAACCAAATAAACTTTACCAAATTTGGTATGCGACAATTTAGTGAGACAGATCGAAAAGGTAAAATGAGACAATATTTGGTGTTCTATAATTTAATGTTTGAATTTTAAATTTGTAATTTAAAATTTATGGTGTTTTTTGGTGTTTTTAAAATTTTATTTTATTTATTTTATTTTATTAAAGTGAATAAGGGTAAATTTGCTATTTATAGGAACATGAGAAGTATTTTTACACATATTAGAACTTCAAAAGTATATGTTTGTCTCCATGTATACTTTAGGATTTCAGGGATATATTTGCACATTTTCCCTTTTTAAGGTTGCCAAAATATCTTATAACCTAACTAATTTACAGAATTTTCTCCATAACTATAATATTGATAATAGGATGATATCAGGGGTGGAGCTAGGGGGTGCCCAGGCTAGGCTATGGCCCACCCCAAATTTAAAAAATGTCAATATTTTTAGTGTAAAAAATTTCGTGTAATTTTTTTCCTAATAATATTCTTTGTACCGGCCTAGTCTGGCCTAGTGTCTTGGCTCCGCCCTGGATGATATCAAAATTATGTTCAAGACATTTGAACGCGATGAACATATCGAATGTAAGCAACTATTTAACAACAAAATTTAATATTGAATTCCTAACAACGCAAAGAACATATTTTAACTAAACTGAGATTCATTGTTCTCGTAGAAATATAAAGAGGGTAGAAAAACGAGAAGCAAGATAGAGAGAAGATGGAACACAATTTCACCTCAGTGTCCTGCTAATGCCTTATTTGACAGTTTTCACTTTCTTTTATTAGGAGTACAATATTTTCTCTAAATAGAAAAGTAAAGAACTTGTTCAAAATATGAGTAAAACATAAACACAATCCACAAATAGAAGTGACTATGTTTTATTCCTAAAATAGTACTTATTAAATTATATGAGTAACATAAAGCTTTCTCAATTAGGACTTTAGGAGTGAGTGCATCATATTTAATAAGAAAAGAATAAGAAAAAATGGCTCAAATATTACTCTTAGGCTTTTAATGAACAAAAGTATGACTAATTTTTTATAGGACAAAAAAGTGATTAAAACATTGAAAGCCCAGCACTTCCCACGTACGTTCATCTTCCCCACACCAAACGCTCTCATCAATTCATCCCTTCGCTTGAGACAGAGTTTCGACAATTCAGAGCCGACGTTGTGACAATTCAGAGCCGCCAACGCCGTGAAAAAACAGAGCCGCCGACACCGTGATCGAGGAGAGTCGCCGACGTCGTGAGGAGAGCCACCGGTGCCGTGAGACATAGCCATCGATGCTACTGCACTTCTTCTCGCCATAGCCGTGTGCGTTTTCCGACATCGTCACTGACGCCCACGGTGACGCCGTCGCTGCACCTCTCCTTGTTGTCGTTGCGATTCTTCTTCTCGCTTCTTCTGATCTGGGGGAGGGCGGTGGCTAGGGTTCAATGGCGGGAGGTGGGGGCTGGGATGGGTTTTCAAAGATGGGCTGGGAGAGGCGGATTGGGGATGGTTAGGGCACTGTAGGAAGTGCTATTGTTTAAGGGTGTTCAGGCGAACACCCACAATTTTGAAAATAAGATATAAAAATACATGTATAGAATTGATATAATAATTTATATAGTGTATTTTTTATACAATGTTTGTTACCCTTAACCTCTTTTCCTAGTTTTTTTGGTTGAAAAAATTACATTCCTTCAATTGTGGTATCGAAAAATATTATTATTCAATATTTTAACCATAATTTTTTTTTGAACACCCAATTTGCGGTTTCAAGATCCGCCACTGGGTTAGGATGGTCGGAGTTGGTGTGTGACAACGATTAGGTGGTTGGAGGGGGCGGAGTTAGTCAGCGGCGGAGTGAGATCTCTTTGGGTGGCATGACGGAGAGTTGACAATGACAAAGAGAAGGTTGGCTGGGGTTGGGAGGGGACTGGGGAGTCAAGTCAGGGTGGGAGGTGGTGGAGGTGGTGGTCTGCGACGGTTGGGTACAACGGCGGTGTTGGTCACTGGGCGGTGGCGGTGGGATGGTGGGGTTGATTGGTGGTGGCCAGAGTAATTGTGTGGCCAGCGGGGTGGTCGGCAGGGGTGGCCTGTGGCGGTGGCCGAAAAGTGGCGATGGTGACCGGAGTTGGCAGGCAGTCACTGTGGCCGGTGGACGGGTAGTCACAGTGACTGGAGTCACTTTGGCCGATGGGCGGGTAGTTACTGTGACCGGTAGGCGGACAATCACGGTGCTCAGAGTCACTGTAAAGGGCGGCAGTCGGTCAGTCAGGGGCGGCAGTCAGTCAGGCAGCAATGACAATCACTTGTCAAGTGTTTCGATTCTCACTAATCAGCATAATGGCGATGGCGACAGTCACTGGACGGAGTGGTCAATAGTGATGGTGGTCACTAACATTTCAAGTCACTGCAGAGGGAATACCTTAGTCACTGTTTATCACTAGTGTATAATAGATATTACAAAAATGAAGTTAAAAGACAAAAATATGACATCTTTTTTATATTTCCAAAAAACTTGACCAACTTAACAACTATTTCTTGTGGTGGCTACAACGACAAAGTGACTCTCAACACGGTGACTCAGACAGCAGTGACTTCCCGCCAACCGGCCACAGTGAATCCGGCAATAATGACCGCCCACCCACAGGTCACGGTGACTGCCTATCCAGCTCCAACTACCGCCGCCACTTTTCAGACGCCACAATCTGGCCCACCTGGCTTACCACTGTTGTCGCCGGACCCCTCCCCAGCCCCCAAACCCCCCTCCATAGCCCCCTCCCTACCTTTCCCCGCTCTCCGGTCAGCTCCCACCGCCTCCTTGCAAGTGACCACCACTCCCCAGCCCCTGCACCACTGTCACTACCCCACCCCCACTCCCCAGCCCCGCACCACCACCACTGCCCACCCCACACCACACCACAACGACCGCACTACTGTCAATTCCCCACCATCGCTGCACCACCCCTAACCGGCTAACCCCCCTCCCCGACCTTCCAGCCCCCTGGGCCACGATCCTAATCACGATGTCAACCTGTTTATTTCAACATCGGCGAAGAAGAAAGGAGAAGAAGGGAATTGCGACGGAGATGGAGGCGATGGCACAGAGCAGCAACGGTGGAGAGCATAACACGAGCTTCATCCGGTCTAGGAGAGGAAAACAACGATCTTGGAGAAGAAGAGAAGTTCGTCCGATTTCAACTGAGCGCAGAGAAGATAGCTTTGTCGCTGATTTGGGAGATCTGATTTCGATCTGGAAGAAGAGGGATAAAGCATAAATAAACGGGCCATACTAAGAAGCTGAGGCAACGAAAGGATAAAGACGACACACTTTCATGGAAATTAGTAAATGGGTCATATTTTTGAAATCCGAAAAGGTATAGATAGGCATGACTCGGTCCGGTTTCAACTGGGCCTTTTTTTGGAGAAGTGAGGCCCGGAAACCGGCCCAGGTAGCTCCGGGCCCGGGTCGGGTACCCTATTTTTTTATTTTCTAATTACTTCCTACCCCACCTTAAACCCCCAACCCAACCCATTTACCTTTTAAAAAATGTGAAACAAAAAAAAAATACCCCAAATCGGCCAGGCCTGTTCGTGATTTGGGAGGCCCGGAAACCGCCCATCTACCGTGTCGGTCCGGGTGGCCCGAACCGGGCACAAAACCGGGTACCGGGCCAGGCCGTAACAATACCGGTTCGGGCCGGTTAATTCGACCCGAGTCCATCCCTAAATGTAGAGGTATTAAATGGGCATATTTTTGCACCATGTCTATTTTTTACTTCTATTTGATGAAATTTCTCATAGAAGCAATATATTGTCATCTTAAATTCACATGGTCACATTATGACACTAGACATATTTTTTCATGACGCAAAACTTACTCATACTCGGAGAACAAACATAGTACTTTTGTTTAAGAAAAACTTGTTTTTTTTCTTCACATTTAAGCCAACTCCCATTTAGGACAATTTCTTTTAATTCAATCAGTAATTGAAGTTGACGAAGGTCATAGTTGATTGAAAAGATGATTCATCTATGAAAAACAGATTATTCGACCAGGAAATAAGAAATAAAAAAATTGTTGTATTTGTATAGAGCTTTTACAAAATAACATTCCAAAAAGGCAGTTTATTATATTTGAAGATACATCTATCCCCTAGTAAAACACAAAAACATATACTCCAAAGATAAAATGGAGAGAGTGAGCGGGGTGGGGAAGGAATAAATTGAATATCAATGAATGAAACAGACATGTAGCAAAAGGGGCGTTGCTATTATTATAGTTGGTATTATTATTATAACTTAAGAGCAGCAATGGCTTCAGGCTTAAAGTCAACTCTAAGCCCTAACACTCTTCTCACCTCACCTGGGGTTAATCTCCAAGTCATGGGTCCTGAGTTTTCACCCCAGAAATCAAGAATCTCTGACACTTTTTCCAGGTTCAAAATTGTCGCCATCTGTGTAAGCCGTGCAAACTTGTCCCTAACAGTCCTCTGAGTCATCCCAGAGAAATAACTGACCAATGCCCTTACGTCTCTGTCGAGCTGCAGACCTCCCAGCTGACTGAATCTCTTCTGCAACATGATTGCCTCAAGCCTTTTGACGAGAAAGTCAATGACCAAATGCACAAAGGAGTCGTAATTGTTGGTAGTCATTAAGGATCGGAGCCAGGCCACATTGCCCTCAACGGAATGGAGGAGGCGTTGAACCCACGGGTCATTCACCTCGTTTTCGGCATATTCAGATTCAGATAGTTCGTAGCTTATGGTTGCCACACTGTCTAACAAAGGCCGGATGCGAGGCATTACTGTGCCTACAAGTTGTTCCATCCCAACGTTCAAGGCTTTCTTGAAACTAATGTTCATCTCGCTCAGTTCAGAGAGACAAGATTTTACTCTCTCTCTATGTGCAGGTGTAGGAAATACCTGGCAAATAACCACGAATGAAATCTCATTAATAAAGACAACAGCGCAAAACAAAAATTGAATACTTTTGGTAACTTCATCCTGAATTTTCATTCTTGGGAAAATTGGTATTTCCATCAGATGGTTTACTCCCATATTTGACTTTGAATCCCAAGTTTTATTTTATGAGAGTATGCAACTAGGGCACCCCTAAGCGAGTCATTTCTATGAGGCTTTTCAGCCCTGTTTGTAAGAGTTTGTTCTCCGTGATTTTCCTTAATATTATGTTCCATGAAAATAAAACATGGGTCACCAAGTCATTTGATAGGATAAAACAGGAGAATGCAATTACCAATTTTGCCATTTTTCCTACATCATCATGATTCCAAAAGCTTTTGGGAAGGATGGTGATCTTTGCGTGTTACCATATGCAATTGTACGGATCTTGGTGGATGAAAAGGGAAAGAAAATGTTGAAAATCACTATTGTTTAATGAAAAATGATATAAAGCTCTCATGGTTTACCTCATTCTGTACACCAACTATATGAACCAACAGGTATGTCCTTGCATGAATTAACATGTAATATTTGTAGTTACAGTAATCACAACTTCATGGAGAGGGTGTAAACCATGCGGAAACCCATAGTGTTCCTCTAGCATTACACATTGTCTGATACTCAAGTTATGTAGCTTACTATGATAATGGGAATATGGAATAAACTACAAATTCCCAAATACATCCATGCAAATCAACAAAATCCCTTTAAAACAGTAAACAAAAGTAGATTTTTATCATCACTTCATTTGGATGTAAAAGAACTACATTGAGTTGAATACATTTATCAGTGAGCATGTTGATCTTCATGTATTACGATAAGCAACATTAATAAGAACATAGTGAATGTAAAAGGAAAGGGAAAATATTGTAAAGAACTGTCTGTTGTTTGAATTAATAAGTTATCTCACATATCACAATCATGGCATAAACTAGGCAATGATATCTAGATTCATACCAAAAACACTAACTAACCTCAGCACATTGCTCTTCAATCTCATGGCGTAGTTTCAACACATACTCGCTGCTCACGTCCATGTTGTTCAAAGCTGTCGCAATCTCTGTACCTGTCTTTTGGACACCAACACCCCCCAAGAACAACTTTGCCCCAAGATTAGATTCCCCCCTTATCTTCTGTTGTAAAGCGTCGTTATACTCCCCACCCAACAAACTCACAGCGCTGCTTAAAACAGCAATCACGGAGTTGATATTCGATGTGGATATTGATCTTTGGCAACAGCTCTGCAAAACATAAAACACGTCGTCCACCATGGATGTTGTGAGTGAATCAAACACATGTTCATCTATCTTTATAGCCTTCCTAACATTCTCAACCATGAAGTATCCCTCCAAGATGACGTAATAACCTGTAATGTCCTGAACCACTTTGCTGAAATTACCACTCCTGAAAGCTTTGGTGGCTCGAGGAACTAATTCAGGATCAACAGAGCTCAATCCCCTTATCTTTGAAATCATGTACTCTGTGTAATCCTCACCTAATTGTGCTAAAGACAATATCTCTTCCAAATATACTTCTATATCCCTCGGGTCTGGCCCTTCAACTCCCACTGATGAGAGAAGATTGCTCTTGTAAGAGTTAATCTCTGATGTCAAAATAGCTAATTTTCTGTATTCCATGTACTTCTTTAAAATAATGGAACCCCTATTGTCACACTCTTCTTGAAGCTCGCAAATGGCATAGACTATAGCATCCTCTCCGCATAAGCTCCTCAAAATATCATCGTTTTCTTCTATAGCCAGGACGATGTCCTTGAAAAGATTTGTCAGTGAAGCCGTGAAGTTGAGGGGGGGTTGATTTGGCCGGAGAGCTTGTTGGTTGGGGTCCTCGTTCATGGTTTCCAGTAGTTGCTCGAATTCAAGGCGAGATCTCATAGCAATAACCTTCTTCAGGTAGCCCACATACACCTGCAAGCCTTCCTCATGCAGTTCAAGTGGTGAATAGAGGCGGATGAATCGTAGCACAGTGGGGTGGTCTCTCTGATCCACAGCAGCAGTTAGTCTCCGGCGGACGATTGTTTCCAGCTGCTTCTTGGAGGACAGGAGTTGCTCCCTCTGTTCGGAGCCGGAGGAGTCTTTGAACTTGGTGTCGATCTGGAGGAAAGACTGGACGCAATTGGCAGCGGATTCGAAATCTTCAGAGTCTAGGGCTTTTTGGACGCCGTCGAGACAATTGGAGCGGTGGACAATGGCGTCAATGCAAAGGAGGGTATCGTTGACGCGAGACTGAGCAAGATCGAGCTGGCGGACCTTAGCACTCACCTGATCGGCAAGGAGAGAGGTGGAGCCGACGTTAGAGAGGAGGTGATCGGAGTTGTCCTTCACAGTGTCGAGAACTTGAGCGGATTTTTGCAAGCCTGAAAGCTGCTTGTCGAGATCGTAGCGCTGGGAGAGAATGGTCTCCAGGTCCAGATCAAGGGCCCGCTGGTAGGCGATGCACTCGTGGAGAAGACGAGTCATGGCCCCGACATCGGTGAGCTTACGCACGTGCTCCAGAGCCTCCGCAGTACCGAAGTTCAACGATAAAGTCGCATTGAAGGCCTCTTCACCGGATTCTCCTTTCGGCGTCCCAGCTCCAGATCGCGATCCCATCGCTGCAGTGAAAATGTAGGTATTAGGTCAGGCTGATGATTAGTTTGCCTTTCTCATGCTGAGGAGTTCATTTCCCAGCGAATTTTAGGGGAAAGCCTAGTTGCTTACTTGCTGTTACTCGCCGACGGCAAGTGGCGACGAGTCTGAAGGTCAGGAGTGACGGCCGCGTCTCCTCTATCCATCCATTTTTTCGAATATTGTTAAATTAATTTTAAAAAACAAAAATATCATACTCCGTATTTAAAAAAAAAAAAAATCAAAACGAGACATATTTAGTACGAAGTAATTACTCTAAGGGGTGTTTGGAATTGATTCTAATTCTGCTTCTTTTTTAAAGCAGAAGCAGAATCAGAATCAGTTTTCAGAAGCTGGTACCCCCCAGCTTCTAAAAAAACTGATTCTGAGAGTAAATTAGAGCACCAGAAGTGCTTCTGGAATTTCACCCAAACACTCCAGCTTCTGCTTCTGCTCTCTGAAGGAGCAGAATCAGTTTTGAGAATCAGATCCAAACACCCCCTAATTAGTTTCCAACGATTCATCATTTACTAGTCATACAAATTTGGAGCATAACTTGTAGAAATTAGTTATAGTGACATTTAGGGTTTAACGATCATCTTGTAATATAAATTTGGCGTCCCTTCTAATTTAAAAAATGTGTCAAACTCTCCTTTTATTATAATTATTCCTACGCAAAATTCCTTATAAGAACAAATTTTACAACTTTGAAATCACTTTTTTAATAATATGATTGAATATACAAGTAGCTTTGTCAAAATTTCTAATTTATACAAGAAAAACTAATCATTTTTCATTTTTTGGGAATTAAATTGTTCATAAAAGGAGGTTTTGCGCATGAATAACCACAACACAAGGGGTTCAACACATTTTTTAAATCACATGGGGCTAATGCGCAAAATTTATATATCACGAGGGGGTTTGGTGCATTAAACATGTGACTCTTATCGAGTTATCGTACACGATGATTAATCATATTTTTGTCCAAAAACATAACTAGTCAAAAAACATAGCTAGTCATATTTTTGTTCAGAAAAGTATGTTAGTAATATTCATGTTATTTTTGAAATTTAATATGAGGAGATGGATGTTTGGCAAATTATACTGTACACCCGGTTGTACAGTGCTCATTGTACAACCGAATATTTTATGTTAAAAAATGAGTATAACTTTTAAAATACTCATTAAAAATGCTCACTAGAAATCCCCCTATAATCTCTACAATGTCGCACATATGAAAATATTCTTTGTTGCTACTCTCAGAATGATTGAGCTGATGCACAGATACCTAATGTGGTAAGCTCGAATACCTAGGTATCTGTGATGCGGTGATATTTAATATGGGCCCAAAATTTTAGGGCTATTTCTCTACAATATAATAAAGGGGAATATTGTCAGGGGTTTAAACGGTGATAAAAAATGTTGGTGTCTTTTGGTGCATAATCTTAGTGTACTTTATGTTTACATTGTTGTACATCATCGCAGCTTCCATTACTAACCGTGATTTCAACGTTATACCCTTACGGGTTAAAACAACTTCCATTATCATCGCATGTTACCCTTTCCCCTCCTCTCTTCAGATTCAGCCACTCAGCATTCTCAGTTTGCTTCCACTATGAGGAGCTCTTCCACCACAAGTAGGTGGAGACAAGGAGGGTCAGAAATCCCAACGAGAAACCTTTCGTGAAGCGCTCTCTCAGACGTTTCCACTCCTCCCCCGCATGAGGTTGAAAGCTGCCAGGAGATGCAAGGGAGACTTCGATGGTTAGTGGCATAATGCAAAATTTATTCCCGACTCTTGCTTGTCACGGGAATTCATCAATGCATACATCATCTTACAAAGACTATCTGGTTTGACTAACAACTGAAAAAGGTTAGGTTTCTTCCTATTCTCGATTGATTGGCTCTGTTGTTTAGTTGTTATCTTTGTTGCTCTATTGCTTCGTTTTTGCCATCTTTACAAAAACTTAGCTTAAGTATTTTCTTAAACATTTAAAATCAGTTTGGTTTTTGAAATGTAGATTACAAATTGTATTTTTGTGCGGAGTATTGCAAAATACAAATGGCTGCAAAGTTTTATTACAATCTTTACAAAATATAGTGAACCACACAACCTGTTTGTGAAATTGTCTAGGTGAGAGTCTTTGTGTTTCTAATTATTCATTACATGCTTATTCATTTTAAGTTTTTTATTTTTGCAACTATGCACGAGATAAGTTTAATATATCCAAGAATGTATATACTAGAGACATGTACACACATATATACGGAGTAAAACATAACAACAAACTACATTCATACTATTGCAGCTTGGCGTCTTATGTGTCCAAAGTTCTAAGAGTGAATCCAGTCTGCTCCCTTGTGAGTATTGTGCCCCCTCACTTGAATCTGTGAAATGCCAAACAATGGAGGTTGGCTAAATTTCTTAGCTATGTTTTATTGGGTTCCTACTATTTCACTTAATTTTTGAAATTATTGAACCATGACAGAATGTGAGTTTAACAAATCCATCAACCCTAAGTTTAAAATTAATCACTTGTGCATGTTGGTTCACGAAAGATCTTTTGACATGCTCAAATTGGTATGCAGGGCCACTACTCATTGCTACATTAATTACTTCAAAAAGGTTTTCCTAGACTCTCTTTTGCATTGCTATATATTGTTGTTGAGAATTCATTTTTACTCACTAATTCTCCTTTTTGTAATGTGTGACCTTTCCTAGGTTCTCTTTTGTTGTACCAAATGGGAAGACATATGGAAGAAGTGTTGGTCTGTCGACTCCCATTATTTAACATTTCAAAGCATACAGTCTATCTGGTTAATATTTCAGAATGATTTTTGTCTGCGTTTGAAGTATGAGGGTTTTCCGAACAAACTAGACTTTAATAAAACCTTTTCACATGTACATGACGCATTATAAACATTCATAGCGATAGATCATGAGAGGCAAACATTATTTATTGATTTTAAGTAATCAAACTTTTTGTTGACATCTTTTTTCTCTAAGTTCTTGCTCCAATTAACTAAATAAATATCAGATGGTCTATCTTGACCAGAAATTTAATTCTTGTTGATTCTACAAATATCTCTGAGTTCCTCCCATAAAAATGGATTTCGAGTAGAAGCTATCTTGTTTTTTATTCTGTGAATGTGTGATATGTGTGTGTGTGTTGATTTTCATATCTCCCACACATGGTGTTAGGAATCTTTTATAACCTACTGAAGCAATTATTAAAGCAGACTACGGGAACAAAACACAATCAAGTAAGTGCACCTAATGAAACAATAATGAAAGTCAATAATTTTTCTTTTTACTGTTGTTTGAATACAACCATTACTAGCTTGGTTTGATAGGTAGTTTGTGTTTGAAACAACGCCCGCAAGAGATGATTTGTTAATTTAAATTGTGTCGAACATCTTCCAATCGTCTATGTTGATTTAACTCCATTCAAAGTATCTGCTTTGATTGACTAAGCACATCATTTATGGAATCTGGATTTTCAAACATAGGAAACCAATGTGTGGGGGAGGTTCATTTAAAGGTTGCTTAATTAATTATGAATAAAGGTTATTTTATTCTCCAACTAAGGTAGAGTTGTCATTCCTAACTGATTCAACCTAGCGCATAATAAGTATCACCTTTCAAACTTCTAAACTTGAGTAAGCACTACTGTAGTTTAGGTGCTACTAGGTTATCTTTAATTTTCTGAGGCCAAGACAATAGCTATAATGTGGTAAAGGTGGGAAGATCACACAACAGTTCTTTAGAATCTGCTAACGTATAAAGCAGAAAAATATTTAATGGAATGCTTGGGGTGTGTAAAACAGAGCCAAATGAATATTCATTATCCTTCTTGTGTTGAAATGTAAGTTTTCTAATACACAATGACAAGAAAGAATAACTTCGAAGTAGTTGTTCCATGCCGTTTTAGTAACTCTGAAGTCATTTTTATAATTAAGAAAGAATAAGGTTATTTCATTCATTTAGTTATTCCATGTGATGTGGTTTATTAACTTTGTTTCGAAAACTGAAAAGTTGCATAACTAAACATGAATTAAACCTTCTATAGTTGATTGCATTGAACTTCTTTAGAAAATAGCCCAGTGGGTAAAATTGGACAAATATATAAAACTCATAAAACATTTCCAAATATGTGGGGTCTAAATGATGAGTAACTGTGAAAATGTAAAAATATGTTGCATTTGAATTTTTATATTTATAGTAATTGATCTCTGCATTTTTATGTTTTAATGTTGTATAAGTCTATAAGGGAGTGTTTTATATTGCTTTAAAAACCATTTTCCAGCTTTTTTCTTCAAAAAAGTTGAAAATTGTGATTTCTCATAGGTGCTTCTTCTTAAAGTTAATCAGTTCAAATATAGGTGCTTGCTGAATGTAAGGCTTCGTCTTTTGTAATGGAGTTAAGTTTATATATTCACTTTGTTTAATGAGTGAGGGGTAGGAGCAACCGGATACACATGTTAATATTTGTTATAAAAATGAGTCAAAAGTTGTGCCAAAATCCCAAGTATGAAGAAGGCTACCATATACTTTGAAACCCTCTTAAAGCATCTTCTTATGTCTTTTAGCTATAGAATTTCACTACTTAACCATAACTCTTATGTCTTTGAAATAGCTTTTGTTTTTTATTGAATGTTCTTTATTGAAAGGAGAGAGAAAGCCAGAAAACGAATCACAATTCCCCAAGGGTCTGTCCAGATTGTCTATTTACATTGATACATATAACCTTTTAAGATATGAATAACACACATATAAGTTAGTGTATCTATCATGTATAATTTGTTTTCTCTCATTTCTATGAAGTGTAGATTTGCAATAATCCACTTTGTCCTTCAAGAACAACAACTCTAAAAGAGTCATGACATCATCATTCACATTTTGTTTTGGTCAAATCAGACCTATAGTACTGCTCACAGTAATATTTATGGCATACATCAATTTTTTCAAGGCATAAGCTGTTGTATGAGGGCGGCTAACTTGTGTTTACACCTATCTTTCATTTATGCATATCTATGTTATCCCACATTAGTATTTAGGGCATAAATTACTTCATAAGCTCTTGTTGGAGGGCTGTCCTTTTTTATAAACCCTTTTCACTCTATAAGCTACTGATCCAGTTTAATAAGGTTCCAAATTAGACATGTTGTAGTGCCCATAGAAGTATTTAAGACATACTTTTGTACATCAAGTTTCTGTAAGCATAAACTCTTTTTCTAAAGTGATTAATATGTGTTTACGCCTATTTTCGTTTATACCCATCTGTGTTATCCCACAGTAGTGTTTAGGACATAAGCGCTTGTTTTTCATTTATGTCCACCTGTGTTATCCAACAATAGTATCTAGGCCATATGTTACTTAAATAGGGATTCCTTGTTTTCAAAATTTCTTGCTACTTATTTTAGAGAAGGCAACGTGCCCGCCTAAACAGTGCTACCAAAATGGAGATATAGAGGAGAGCC